TACGGTTACGGCGACAGGCGGGACAGATCTATAGCTGTTTTTTGGTAGGACTCCAGCTGCGCCGTGGCCTTCTCCATCTTTCCCCGTGTTGTGCAAGGACCCTAGACTCCTAAGCCAAGGCTTTTGCAGATTTTGAGGAACTAGTACAGGGCAGCTATGCTGCCCTGCCATAAGCTTCTTGTGTGGCCTAGGGACCTGGTTTTCACCCGGCTTTGTTAAGCACGCTGTAAGGCTGCAGGGGGTCAAGAACTTCCTTTGGGCAGCCAGTTCCGATTGAGCCCAATCCTTCACGGCAACTTACCGCCACTGACCCCTTTTACTCATCCAGCGGACCGAGGCGGAAGCCCGAGCGATATGTGAGTTCATGTGCCCAAAACTTGCTGAACAAGCATGTGCTTATTTGTGTATACGTACATGTGTGTGTGTGTGTTTTTTTTACGCGGTGTGCGTGTATATACATACATATATATATATATATATATATATATATATATTATATGCTATATCTGCGTACATCTATATCACTATATCTATATCTACGTCTATAGACGCGCGTACATATATGTAACGCATCAGGCTTTGACAACTAGGTTTCCTGCGCGTGCGACAAACTGAACACAGCTCAATCCGAACCGACCCACACAGGATCTGACATGATCAAGCATCCTCCTGGCAACACCACTCGCGCTGCTTTGGAGTCCACAGCTGGTAGTTTGCCTGGTGGCAAGTCCAGGTCCTTAGTGAATGCAGGGGTTGCAAAGACCCCTCGAGGAAGATGCAACAGCAAACCCGTCTCCCGTCTCCGATCTTTTCGATGCAAGCTGCTCGCGGCCCGTGTCTTGCCCAAGATGCCTCGCTCAGCGTTTTGGAGGCTTTGCATCGTGTCAACCGAAGAGTTCAGCACTCAGGGCTTCATCACAACCGAACGGAGCTGGCGGCCAGGTAGCGGAGGTCCTCCGTGTGTAACCTCAACTTGCCAGTGTTAAAGCTCGACTCCCAGATTACCTTGGTTTCCTAGTTGGCTAATGTTCTTATGGCATCTTATGGCCAAGCCGCCGCGTTGCGTAGGTCAGTCACCAGGTTCAATTGGTGCGATGTCCCAGCCACGTACACAACCAACAGAATCAGCGCCACAGCTGTAAGCAGCATGGCCCCAAGCAGGAAGCGACGACGCCAGCCCTTGCAAAAGCCAACTCTCTCAGTCGCATAGTCTCTCATATCTCCTCGAAAAACTTCGTAAAATGTTTCACATGTGGTTGGCCTTCAGACCGGTCTCAGAATCCTCGGTCGATCCTGACCACGAGCGCATCGCCTGAGACTTCGCCACAGTTGCAGGGCATCACTGCACGTAGCACTGTCCTCGCGGCATACAAAAATCTGCGGAACCATCTTTTCAACCCCAAAACGCGGACCAGGAACACAGGTTCCCATGGCTGGCTGACCTTGGCAAGGACTCTCAGGCTCTCAAACTGCCTCTCTCCCTCTCTCCCTCTGTTGGCGAATTGTTTTTTTGTTGCCAGCCGGCCCATTTCATCGCGGAGCTGGGCTTCCAAGTCATCGTTCTCCACGTCCTCTTCACGCACACACACACACACACACACAAGTCTTTAAAGTCACACTTCGGTGAATGGCATCGGCCTTGCCATGCAGCACCTCGGAGACCCGGAGACCCGGAACAGGACAAGGCGTGCTTGCAGAAACGTCTCGGCGCAGCGCTTGACCACCCATTTGCTTTATGAGCTTCAGGAACTTGAAGGTGGCCGTAGCCCTGATGCTTCATGCGGCACACTACGCAACTTGGCCGCCAAGGGTTTGTTGAAGTTTCAAGCGCTCCTCTTCGCATCTTCCTGGCGATTCTGCCGGCGGAGGAGCCACGGCGATCCTCCAAGCAACACAACTTGAAGCTGAAAGGGTGCTGCTGGGAAGCCGAAAATCCGGCACAACATGCAAAGGGCCAAAGAAGCTGTATGTCCCCATCCTGGGTTTTCTTCTCCGGCTGCGAAAGCCTCCAAGCCCTCAGGGACGTAGCGCAATGACAGCAGGTAAGGGTGGAGTCACGGCGTCGCTTTCTCGACCCGACGCCGACTGACTGAGGTCTCATCAGCACTGCTGCTTTCATCAGGGGTCGGATCATGCAAACCTGCACATGCAGTCGAGATCGAATTGGTCGAATCAACACCCGTGAACATGCTCACGTACTTGCATGGTCGGTCCCACTTATCTGCAGCGAAGCAGCCCAGCATGTTGATCTCACGGCTGGAACGCAGGCTTGTCAAGCGAACAGCTCCAGCCGAAACATGTGCGGGCTTGCTGACGTTGAGGGCACGGGCACACAAAATGGCCTGTGGATGGCTGCACAAGACATAATTCACCCAAGTTCCCAGATTTATTTTGATGCCCATCTCATGTTGGACAGCTTGTCTGCTTAAGTTGCTACACGTCGCTGCCGTCTACGCTTGCCGCGAGAGGCCGCCTTCTCGAGCAGCGCCTCCAACATGGTTTGCAACATGATCTCGGGGCATTAAATTCAGCTGGGCTCTCTTGTGGAGCACCAGTGTGAGCACCAGTCGGTGGTTTTGCATGTGGTCCATCTTCTATATCCTCACAACGCGGCAGGCGGAGTAGTGGCAGGATTGTGCTGGGGCTGCTTGCAATATCATCCGCAGAGTGTTTCCCGAAGTTGCTATTCAGCATCCCATTCACGCAGCCTCCATGCGCATCACAGGTACAAGCGCCTCCCAGAAAGCTAGGCAGGTGCTCGGCATTCAGAAGTTGTTGCGCATATGGGCAGAGATGTGGTTCATCATCTGCTTTAACAGCCTGGCGATGTACCCAAATCTTCGACAACATCTTCTGGCTCATGATCTTCGACGCAATCGCAAAGGCAAGGCTCATCCACGTCGGCGTGTTGAAAAAGATTGCTCTTCCCAAGAATTGTGGCCTCAGCCACTCGTTCATCTTCGAGGTTTTGCCCAGAACCCTGAAGAATCTGCGGTCTTGCGACATGGCAGCCGCGGCAAAGTCTTGCAGAGTGATCTGCTTAACGAAGTAACCTCTCTTTCGCGTTGCGGCATCACAGAACTGCCAGGCGCACTCACTGAGATAGGTCAACCACACCTCAACTTTCTCTTCGCCCAGCATGTCCAGCATCGGACTCTGGTTTGACTGACCAGCCCGTATGATAAAGATTGGGTCGCTGAACTTCGTGGTGAAGTGGAACCCCGAGACCAGCATGGTTTGAAGCACCTGCACGTCTCCCATGGACAAGCCGGGCGGCAAGCTCCGCATTTTTGCTGCCTCTACCAATTCGCGGTGCTCGTTTCGCCATGCAATGGCCCTCCGAGCAGCATCAGCTGCTTCAGCGGGTCGGGACTCGAAGCTCAGGACGTAGCGAAGGAGCCAAACATCATCTAGCTCCGCCTCCGTCACCACCTCCGGCCCCAGCTGGCTGCGAAGGCTCTCAATCTGCCCTCCCTTTTGTGAGAGGAGGCTGGCGAGATCCACGCGATGTGTGGCGTTGATCCATGCCATCCGGACGCGTTTCAAGCTGCCTAGTGACTCAGATTTCAAGCCTTGCCGCGTGTGAGTGCATGTTAAAGTCATGAAGAAACCACTCCGAAAAGAAGTGACCGGATTGCACTCGCCCTTCCTTCTTGAAGAGTACTTGTCTTGTGAGCGCCTACTTATTTCTGCTAGGAATCTGTCTGCCACCTTCCACATAATCAAAGCATCAAAGCTGCATGAAACTGACTCACAGTATGCGCCAAGCAATGATACACACATATGCTACAGACATGAGGAAACATAGGCCGCTGGCAGTCACCACGCCACCGCGCACACTCGAACTTGCAAGCGCTCGGCCAACAGTTCCTCGCCGGGCACCTGGGACCGGACGTAGATCCATCGAACATGAAAGAGTATATTTATATATATATATATGTGTGTGTGTGTGTGTGTTCTATATTTATATATATATATATATATATATATATATATATCCTGTAGATACCACATAAGATATATATATATATACATATATATATATATATACTCTATATAATATAATATAATATAATATAATATAATATAATATAATATAATATATATATATATATAGATATATATACTATATATCAAATACTGTGTGTATATATGTGTACCTTCATATGTACATCATCTCTATACTATACTCAGGAAGCAACAACCCTGGAACATTCTGAAATTTGGAAGATCACGCCTCTCTGGGCACGTCCTGTCCAGCCGCTTTGTTCCTTGGTCCTGCGCAATGACTTGAGTTCCGATTCACATTCGATGGCAGTGAGCCTCATCCAAACTAGAATTAAGCAAACCGACCACATTATTACATGATTATTGTTCATTCTATGACTATAATTGGTATACTCGTATACATGTATGGTTCTTGTTATATGCTTGGATGCAACTCTGTGCCAGTGGGCGCCGGGCCATGGTACCCTGAAAGAGCGAACATATTTCAACAGCGCGGTTGTCTGGAAACGTCTGTGTGAAACGCCGTTTCCGCCAAAAAAAAGGGGCTGCATCCTTCCAGAGTACAGCATGAAAGGGAAAACACCTTTCTCTCCCCTCGTTCGCATTCCACGTTTGGAGGGGTTCGAATCCAGGCTGGAGATGGTGACATATGTTCTGAAGCATCGGATTTCTGACTACAACTTCGAATCTCCACCCTTTTGGCAAGTCTTGCAAGCCAGTTGCTACTTCTAGTCTGGCACGGGTAATTACCGAATTGTCGAACGGTGCAATATGCTACATCGCAAAAGCTCGCACTTCCTTGAGGGAGGACTGTGGTGGCCACTAATGTGAAAATAATGGGTGGTGCACCAAGGCTTATCTTAGCAGATCCTCAATTGAGAAGCAAGCTCCAAAATTTAAGCACGCTGCCTGTCTGCAGAATACTCTTCCATAGGTGAAACAGCTTCAACAAAGATGAATGCATCAAGTGCTCAATGCTCTGCTGGCTCTGCTCAAACCTGGCCATGCGGGAGCCTCGCGCAACAGCATCAGCAAGCATGCATCAAGTCCCGGGTTTCACATGAAGAAAGCTCGACAACCCCAAATTCCCCACAGCAGCTTGTCTTGTGTGCAAGCAGCATGGGCTGCTCGTGGTAGTCCGAGAACTGCTTGCCCTGCCCAAGTGCAGTGAAGAACGGCGGCTTGTCCTCAGCGACAGTGCTTTCGTCGACGTCCTGTGGTCCTCCCGTAATCCTTGTAAAGGATATGTTTCACTCACTCTCAGCTTGGAACCCGGATTTTCGGCAGCTCCACATAATCACCCCGCAGGCTGAGTGGGCGTTCTTTGTATGGAAGGCCCCTCAGCTAGAAATGTTTGATCGGAATAAGCAGACACACGCACCTCGCACACGTGCCATGTCGAATTCCCCAAGAGACTGAGACCAGTGCACATGGACGCTAACAGGGCTGTGCCTGTCTTTGACGCTTCCAGGCGCCATAAAATCCACCGGAGAGGAGCGTGCTAGCTTCGAGATCCTCTCCTGCCCCATGGGTCTATGAGAAATGGAGAATGGAGAGAGGCAAGGCCCTGCTGGGAAGTAGGACGCACGGCCAGTGCAGCTAGTGAATTGTCCTGCATCCGTCGATCGGCCTCTACTGCATCGTAAGGTGAAGAGGCCTGGATGGTTCCTCGCCAATGACATCTCTGCATGTTGCGAAGAGAAACCGGAGAAAAAAACAAAGCTAGTCTCACGCGCTGATGCCGCTGCGTGGCTGTATGTGTTCGCCGCCTTGATATTGGCCTGAAGCTCATCGGCACATACAAGGCTCCCGGGTGCTGTCCCAATGCACGGAGTCAACCGGGGCTGCTGGCAACTTCAATCTGCTCCCTGGACCTGAAGGGCCCCTGAACCTTGCGCAAGTGGCCTCGGAGCAACGGATGAAGCTCCGAGGTCTTCACAGGGGACTTTCTTTGCTGCAGACTTGGTAAGGCACACTCATGGCACTTTCTTTGGGCATCCTTTTTAAGCTCAGGGCCGGTGCTGGCAGTTCGAGAAAAGAAAGGGGCTCGCTCTGGCAGCTCCTGGGGTGGAATGACAACAATCCTACAAGGCCTACATTGGGCCTGCATGCCACTTCACATGTCGCGGTGTGAGGACTGACTGGACTTCGTGGCCTGGGGTGGCGCCCCCAAGTCGTGCCCAAGCTTCTCTGCCTGCAAAGGCAACGAGGCTGCCACATTCCAATTGCATGCACATGTCATCTACAGAACATTAACATATATCTGATATATCTCAACATCGTCCGGCTTCAACATGACTTTGCACATACTTGCAATGTCCACCCAAATAGGCTGAAGCTGAGCCGAGCCTGCGATGCACCGTAGCTTGTGGATCCCTTTGGCGACGGCAACTTGTGGTGGCGTGGCCTGCGCGGTTTCATGCAGCATGCCGCAGTCAGTCGTCGCAAGCAATATCCCGCAACTCTGGGAGCCTGACCTTCTCAAGGCTTTCGGCAGTTGGACCTTTAACATGGCTTTTGACATCTTCCATAAACAATGGTCAGTCTTCATTGATACCATGCAAAATTCAAGCACAGGGCAAGCCTTCAGACTAGTCTTCAGACTTCTTCAGTCTGCAACATTCTGCAACCAAGTAGCCCTACATGCATCTCGGAGGTGGTCTTCAATGGGCTTTTCGAAGGCTTTGGGCAGGAGGTCGCTGTAGGGCGGATTGTACACTCCTGGCTTTGGGACTTTGAGGATTTTAGGACTGTTGCAAGCGGAATGAGCTTGAGGCCAAGTTAGCCCTGCCTGGGATACTGCTGGTGCTCATCAGGTGGTGCCTTTCACGCGGGCATCATCGGGGTTGCACGCTCGGCACATGTGCGGCTGAGAGGCAGGTCACCCGCAAGGTTGTCAAACCTTGGCACGTCACTGGAATGTGGGCGGCGGGGTGGGGGGAGGCGGGGGGTGAACGGCTGAGTGCACCGAGGAAACTGACTTAAGAACAACAAAGTAAAGTAGATGCCGTGTTGACTTCAAGGAGCTCCTCTCGAACTTTCACCTCCTCCTCCATCTTGGCTGCATGAAGCTTCTCCTTCGGTGCTCGCAACGCCATGCAATGCTGCAGCTCTTGTGGTTTTGGACCCACTCCCTTCGACCGGTATTCTCAGACATGCGCAGCATTTCATCATCGGTCCTTGTGCTCTGCAGATAAGAAGTCCTGCGTCCACTTTCCTCGCTGTTCTACCTGCGCTTGTGCTCTGGCAGGTTCTGGTGCTGCTGCAGTACGGCCAGAGATTTCAAAGACCGCGAAACCTTCACCAGGTAGTCCCTGCGCATGTAGAAGTCGTGGACGTGTAGTCGGCTCCACCATCCCCGCCAAAGGCGTTGAATCGTGCAGGCCTGAGCACTCCTCTGTGTATGCACGTCCGAAATTTCCTGGGGGGCCGCCAGCTCTGAGCAGCAGGCACAGTGGTGGAAGAAGTGTAGCTGCAGCTTGTTTGTACCTTGCCGTGCGCCAGCCACAGAGTGGCAGGGTCAACACAATGTTAGCACCGCAACTGTTAGGAATTCGAGAATGACAATGAGGTGCATCCCAGCGGCGCTCGATGCTGACAGATTTAGCCCGCCTCCTCCCTAAACATCCTCGGATAATCCGCTGGATGAGTTGAGCCTGCCAGGGCAAAGCTTCAGTGAGCTTTGTCAGGAACACATCTCTTGAGCTGACATGAGCTGACCCAGTGCCACGGCAGATGCACCGCAGATTTGCCGAGCGTCTGCAGCCACCACAGCGTGGTAGACACTCCGAATCTGTGAGGCTCGGTGCACGGACTGGATCTTCGTGACAGCTGCCACCTCGCAGCGCTCGAAACCCCAACGATCGGGCAACTGATGCGACACATCAGCTCGCAAGGCCAGCGCCTCAGTCGGAAGGGCATCATTCGCTTCCTGCGCTGCGGCGAAGAGCTTCTTCGCAACCTTCTGTGGCTGAGGCAGTCATGCTTCAAATTTCTGCAAGACGTGCGAACTGCCTCATCCATCTTTCCTTGCATGAGGAAGAAGTGCGCCATACCTTGCTTGAAGCAGAACCGAAGCTCTTCGTCATTGGCAGTGGCTGCCTCGGCCTCCTTGTCACCGCGCACCTCTTGGCATAACCTGTCCGAGCTTTTGTGCCCGAGTCTTTAGGGGCCTGTTTGGCTTCGAGTAGTGCATGTGGATGTGCCTCGCCGCTCGAAGCACCTCGTGCGGTCCCTAGGTCTGGCAAAGCGCAGAGCCTTAAATGGCTGCGAGCAGCAAAAGCGGCTATTCGGAGGCTGAGCCGGCCATGAAGTCCAGGAAGTCCTCACATCGCAACATGTGAAGTGGGCGCAGACACGTCCTCCAACCCTGGCCACCACCAGAAAGGCCGTGCCTTAGAAGCAGTAGGAGATATTTCTGAGTCATTCATATCATGAATGAACGTTGTCTGAAGCCTCACCGCAGCTTGAGTGCCGGCGCTCTTCTCCTTTGCACATTACCCCAACTCTAGGCTGCACTGCGTAGGGGGGCGGCTGCTCGAGCAAACGCCGTGTCAGAAGCGATCCCAGCCCTGAAGGGCATGAGGCTGAGACTGGTCGGAGGCATGCCATGAGGGGAAGATGAAATGCCTCCTCTTTCCTGGCCTGGAACCTCAGCGACTCGCTGGTTCCCACGGCCACGTCCTCTGCAGACTGGATACAGTAGCGGCTCAGCAGCGGAGAACAATAACTAGCAGAGGATGGCACTCCACATCTGGGACCTGGAACTGGGCTCAACACATCCCCTCAGACCACTGGTCCTGCGAACAGCCCTCCCAGGGATGTGAAGATTCGCTGCGCAGCACCTGACTCGCATTCGTCAGCTGCACATGCAGACCCACATTTGCCCGACCCAAACCCTGCAAACCCTGAGCATGCTGCGAAATGCTATGCTGGCCACTGTAGAGGGGAGCACCGCATGGGCTTCCAGCTCTTGCGCCTGTCTGTGCAGAACATCCCCCCCAAAACAGTGACGAAAATCATTTCTTAGCACATCTCTCAGTACCAGACAGCCAGTAGCAGGTGCCGGCTCTCAGTTCGTGTGAGGCTCAGGGCAGAGAGGTGCCCCAGCAGCGCCGGCCTGGAGAGGACGAGGGCAAGAGAGATAACTGATATAAATAAGAGACAGCTAGCGATGCAGTACCTTCCTTTTACCTACAGTACCTTTTCAGGGCCTCTTGAAGCTCCAATGCTCAAGTCTAAGATGTTCACGGCCTGGCCTCCCTTGGCACGTCGACGCAGGTTCCAGGGCTGTCACCAGGCTTACAATGTCCGGCTGCAGGGCAACTCCACCTACACATCCGACACAAACAGTCTTGCTTCAGGGCATCACTTCTCAGTCTTGCTGCAAGTTCGAGGTTGCTGCCCAAGTCATTGAGCAGCAGCAGTCCCTGCAAGAGGCTACACTGCAAATGCGAACTGGTTGATGAGAGGCTGCACAAGCTCAGGTGGTTGAGGTCTTACGACTTGCCGATGCTTCCAGTTCGCATATTGCCCAAATTTCCTACACTGCTGCGAAAGCCAAGGGAGGTGCTCGTGAGCATCTGATAACCCACATCCATTGACCTTGTGCCACTGGCTGGCATCCACGCATGCGGTCAGTGCCGCATTCCAGCCAAGAATTGCATCCTGGCACAGTCGAAAGGTCCTGGAACACCCTCCTCTTCTTATCTCCTCCTTAATGCTACAACTTCTGATACGCTTGCTACGGATCCGTCGGTTTTGCCCTACCATCCCATGAACATTGAGTACCGCTTCTTCAGCAGTTCCAGGTGCAGCCGCAGATGCCAGTGGTACTGTACAGACTGACGATGACCCATAATAATTACTGCATTTACTGCTCACTTTATCCGCTCTGGGGCGTTGCCGGCCTCCCCCGTGCAAGGAGCAATGCTCAGAGCCTCCACTGCCCACTGCCAGGTACCTCTCTGCATGACTTGGTGAAATGGAACAGTTGCCCTCAAAGTCACTCCAATACAGAATCCGAGCCCACCAGCGGCAAACTTTAATAGAGGGCCCGACCCACTGAAGCGCAGCAGCTGATGAAGGAGTTCCAAGCCTCAGAGCGAAACGCTTCCAGATCGCATGTGTTCGCAGCACGATGTTCTTCTTCACTGCTCCTACCGTCAGCCTATCGTGGCACTGAGCTGGGAGCAGCAGATGACGAATCTTTCTCAGGAACATCAAGCAGAAGAAGAGCCTGCGGACATTCCGCGCTATTTGCAGTTCGCCTGGTTTTCGCGTCTGCGATCGTTTGAGGTTGCCAGCTTTTCCCGAGATTCTTACGTATTATGCTTGGAAAAGAGTTGAAGACAGTTTGCAAAGCGACTTGTGCTGAAAGGCTCACTTGACATCTGCCTGCGTCCAGAGGCTGCCAACAGAACACGCGTCAACCTGTGACATCCGTCCCACAGGCTGGACAGCAAGGAGATCAAAGACGTTCAAAAAGACTTGACCGGGATGCAAACTGAAACGGCATGGCTGACAGAATCGCCACGCATCCTCGTCTGACCTCATGGCTTCCACACGAGCGTCATGCAGTCTTATCAAGTGTGTTCGCTCAGCTTTGTGGTGTGCCAGGGCGAATCACAGCTGAGCTGCGAACCCATGCTTGCAAGGATCTCAACGGATCTGCAGGCAGAATCGTGCAAAAGATATCAAAACATAACATGTCGAGAGGTGCATCACTGCTGAGGAATTCAGGCCTGCTCCACTTCTTGGCAGCAAGGCAGGCTCGCTCTGCCTGGACCACCCAGAATCCACCCCCGTACGCAACCTTAAACATCAAGCACAGCCACCGTCACAGCCGCTGCCGCATCCAGCTTGACATCGCCACTTCGAGCCACCTTCCCATCACCAAGGCTCGAACAGTCAGATGAGTCCGACCGGCCGGAAGACAACAAGTTTCCAGACCACACGCTGATGCCCTAATGACCTTGATTACAGCATCTGGAAACAGAGTCTGGGCAGCAAGCTTGGAAGAGCTGCAAAGTGTGATGCCAATACCTGGCCGTGATTGCCTTGAGGAGGGGAGGCGTGCAAGACCGGGCAAGCCTGCAAGCCTGAGAGACCCTGAATCTGGACCACAGGCTTCGGGGCGCACTGCATCTGGCCACTCGCATCTGCCAACGAAGTCCAGGCCTCATCCACATGCATCACGATAGCACCCACAGAAGGCCCCACCATGCGCTCAAAGGCAGCGAGTCAGAGCGTGGTGTCTCTTTATCACAGACCCTATACCTCCTTGAAACGCTGCGCTTGCTGGTAGCTCACAGCCCAAACTGGAACACTTCTTGGCTCTGAGCGCTAGCTGCCGCTAGCTCTAGAATGCACAAAACCTTTCGGGCGGGAACTGCCCAAAATCACGACACTAGACACCTTCTAGACACTACATTCTTAGCGTCTCAGAGCCTGGATAGCGAGATTGGCTGCCTTCTGCCCTGAGAGAAGCATTGCACCGAAGGTGGGGCCCATCCGGTTGCAGCCACGCGCTTCGGCGACCTCCATGCCTGCAAAGATGAGGCCCGGGACCACCTCGCTCGTCATCTGCACGACAGCATCCTCGGCGGTGTTCATGTCCAATGCGCCCATGCCTGGCAAGCCAGATGGCAGGGCTCCCAGAGACTCCAGGCGCTTGGCGGAGCTGGCGCCCATGGGCCCATCGTGCCCCGTCGCGGTGACCACCACCTTCGCCTCCATGACCTGTGGGTCCATGCACGACTGCGTGTCGTGGTTCTGCGTCACCAGGGACCAGTTGGTCACCACCTCAGGCAAAGCAGCGCAGCAGAGCGCAGCTCTCTTATAGAGGTACAAAAAGGTGAATGCATGCGAAGGCCATTTCGCCGACTCTCCCGCATCAAGTCCGTGAAGAGAGAGAGAGGGAGGGAGGGAGGGAGAGAGAGAGAGAGAGATAGATGAAAAGCAGCCTTACGGGAAAAAGAATGCAGCGGCAGACAAAACTAAAACAGAAGGCGAGGAGCGCCGCGCACGGCAACGCCTTCGTCTTCCTGCTTGACCAAAAGATCCTCCACTGCTACTGCGTTGAAAAGCTTCACGTTCGGAGCCAGCAGTGCCTTGCGCAAGACGGACGACATGAAGAGAGCCGCATGCTTCACCACAACATAGTCGCCCTTGTCATCGTAGGGGACCTCCAACTCGTCCAGGAACTCATTTGCCGGCTTCCGCACAACCATCGAGCTCATCAACTGCCCGCCAAGCCAGCAGCCACCACCCGGCGCCACGTTCTGCTCGATAATGGCCACCTTCACATCTGGATGCTTGGAGAGTTCGTACGCGCACGACAGCCCAGCAGAGCCAGCACCCACGATGCACCTCGAATACAGAAGGGATGGTACAAAAGTGGACAAAGGAAGCATCGTGAAATATCTTGGGCCTGACAGATTGCGGCGCCAAAAGTGCATTTCAAGGCGCACATCCGTCTCTGCGTAGTCGATCATTTCGCTCATGTAGCGCCGGGTCATCTCTCTACTGACGGTGCTCTCCCTGATGGGCCTCGGTGCATTGCAAGCATGGGCTGTGCTTGACGGCATTCAATGATCAAAAAGGGGAAGGCGCATGTCGTCACCACCTCCGTTTCCAGGTTAGCAGGAAACTCTTACAAGTATGTGCTGCCATCGCAGGCCGCACACATCTGCTAGCAGACTCTGAACTGAGGAAGGGGCGTGAACTGCATGGCATCGAATTGCGCGAGCTTGTTGGCAACGTACGCCGCGGGGTCGGAAGGCACAGCGGTGACAAGCGCAGACTTCGCCCGCACGAAAGGAAGGCGCAAGAGGCTGGTGCTCTTTCGCATGAACATGGCTTAGGAGGTCAGGCGGCCAAGTCCCTTCGCAGGAACTACCCTGATCAGGTTCGAACGGTTATCTCAGCGGAGCTGCAAGAGCTCGCACCCGCAAGGCCTACCTTGAGTCAAAATGCTACAAGAAAACGCTCCGGATGTTCTCAAGAAGGTTTCGAGGGCTCACAGATGCTAGCAGCATCAGCACAGCTGAGGATCAGACGGCAACTTTATCCATGGGCCTCTGTTTCTGATAGGTGCTTCGCTGGCGCTCCCTTCGTTCTGACGCACCGCGCTACTCCTAACAGCCTATTTGATCTTGCCTCGAGTACCTGCCACTTGGCTGGAGCACCAAACTCAAGCTTCTCCTTGCGAGCGTCTGCTTTGCAAATGCGTTTTTTTTGTGCCTGCTGACCCTTCCGGGTGACGTTAACAGCACCCCTGCCCGACTCCCAATCTTCGAAAACTCCCGGCACTTGGTTGCCTCCACACAGCACAAGCAGAACAGGCGACGACTGCTGCAGCACCTCGGTCTGCTAAGGGCGACGAGGAAACAATCGTTATAGCAATGCCTAAATGACTCATGGCTTGACATAGAAAGTGGCAGCAAAGTCCACTGCCACTTCGCACAGCAACTATGACATGCATGGGCGCACCTGAAGACTGAAGACTAAGAGCAACCAGAGCCCGGCACTCTGCGGCTGTTCAAGGTGGACACGGCCTGGCTGTTTGCCGCTTCCCTGTATTTCCCACCCAAGATCACCCGGAGCCTGTGCCAGCCTGTTGCAGCAGCATCAGAGGCGTCACCCACCTCTGACATGGTTTCGCCACGCCCGACACATCCAGATGTCCGCGGCTATCTGCTTCTGAGCCCCGGGCTCTCCACTTGATCCCTCGGCATCTTATCAATATCTGATCATGCTAATCCGCCGAGGCCTCGGGCCGTAGGTGTCTAGGTAGCACAAAACAGGCACCCCACCTCTAATCCCACACCCCTGCCAAGTTTCCCCTTTATTTTGCACTTTGTGCTAAAATGGGTACCCCCCTACCCGACGAGAGCCGATGGTGCATCAGGATTAGGGGGTGTTTCAGCCGGGCAACCACCCACCGCACGCCGCCCCTGCACCCACCCCCCCCAACCCACCCCGCCCGCCCGCAACTCCACCTTCTCCGACTTGGGTAGCCTCGCTACGGAAGCTCAGGCCGAGGCGGGTCGCGTAGCGTTACGTAAAATTAAGCCATTTTCGCCTTAAGCGCTGAAAGGTACTGAGCGATTCCAGGTCAAGAAAATGAAGCAAAATCACCAGGAGTTGTTTGTCCCAGGTACAGCTTGGAGGTTGGTGCAGCTTTGCTTGCCTTTGTTTGGGTGTTCAGGGGGCTTCGGATTTACAGCCAAGCCGACCCAAAAGGCAAGCCGCACCGAGGAGAATAAAACTCTCACAAACCTCAACACACCGTGCAGCCCAGAACTTATTCGGGGCATCACTCCAACTGCTAACAAGGCTCCAGCTTTGCAAAAGCCGCACCGAAAGCTGGTGCATCCCACCACTGAAGCAGGCCAATGGAAGCTTTCCTGCACTTGTGCCGGGACTAAGGCACGAAGATGTTCAATTTTTTTTAGGCCCTCTTTGTGCTAGCAAGTCGCCAGGATGGAAGAACCATAAATGCCGAGGTCAACCTTTGCCACGGCCAAGCGCAGGCACCAGGTTTTCGGAAATGGGGTCAGATGCTTCGAGAAGGCCGACTCAAGGCTTTACTTCGGCGCGCGGCGTCACGACGTCCGTTTCTGCATCTTCATGTCGTGAGACCTTGCCATTGGCACATTTTGCGCTGAAGCACACTTTCGCAATTGGTGGTGCCATCACTTGGGAGGGAGGCACAGGGGGAGGCACCGGAGAGGAGGGGGGAGTGAGAGGGAAGGGGAGTTAGAGGGAGGGGGAAGACCCCCAATGTATCGGACCCAAAAGTGCCTCGGTGACTCCACAGACGTTTTCAACAAGACAGAGTTGCAAGTTGTAGCCTAAACCATCCAAAAAGCCACTCTCTGCTGTGATTGGTCCATGCTGTGTCGACATGCGCTGCTCCCCGACTTCAAGCAGGTCACGTCCAAGAGACTCAGCGCCTGGCAAATCACTTGTGGCTTGAAGGCTTACATTCTCGAGTTTGGATCGACAGAGTCCTGCCATGGCAAGGACAAGGCAAAGGACTCTGTTGCCGGCCTTCTGCCAGGTGACTGCCCCTGAAGCAGTGATGATCGAGTTCCAGCAGACAGAACTTATCCTTGGCTCAATTTGACACGGGACGTGTTCAACATGTCAGATCACACTGGGCATTCACTATCATTCACTATGCTCCATCGAGTGCCGTGCTCGCAGAGTCGCGCACGCAAGTGACAAAGAAGATTCAGACTGCATACCTACATCATGATCCGCAGGCTCCATTTAGAGGAGTTGGGAGGGCTCAACAACGACTGCCCGCTTGTCTCCGCGAGGTCAGCCCATGCCAGCCAAGAGGAGGACAAACAACACGTGACACATCAAGGCGCTCCCAGGCAACTCACAAATCTTGACAGCGCACCCATGGTGATTCATGGACGCCAGGGCCGGCCGCGATCGTGGTGAGTCGCAAACCGACCTCTCAGGGCCGCTCGGCAGCTCAGAACAATGCAAATTCTGTCACGTTCCGGCCTGCACCATGCCTTGAAGGAGCCCGCAGGCAAGTGGCCACTGCTCGCGGCCTTGAGGGCACCAGTTAACACTGCAGCCACGCTATCAGCATGAGGCATCTGCAGGCTGCAACCAGCGCACCATGAAGGACCTGCCGCTGGCTTTGTTTATCTGACGGCTATCGACGGTGTCAGGAATTGGCCTGATTGGCTTCGGTGGCAAGGCATCGCAAGCCAACCTCAGAGCATACCACGTTTACCAAGAACTTCGAAACTGCCTTTGCTAGAATCAGCAAGGGATAAGATCGCCGCTAGCATCTGCAATGCCTCTTGCCATTGTCGCCCTTGGCTGAATGCCCCTGGCAATGAATAACAAACATGGCATGGTTAGGCCAACTCTGCAAGCACTGTCCCGCGACATTCCTGCAACTGCGTCTGCCTGTAGCTACCCGGCCTGCAAGAGCCCCGCAAACGACAACATCTGGCTGCAGCCCAACCTCGGCAAAGTTTATGCACCCTATTTGGCTTACAAGCTGCAGACCAAAACATCACAGAAACAGTTGAGAACATAACTTCCGACGAGTTCACCTAAACTTGTTGCCTATGGCAAACTTAACCCTAGCGGATGCAGTGAACCAGCAACAGCAAAGGCAACAGTAATACCAATTACGGACAAGCACTCGTTGGTGCAAGGGATGGAATTGCTGCGCATTGCTGCCGGCATCTCGGGCTGACTCCTGCTGCGTCTGCCGGAAAAGCTGCGCTGAGCGAGGCCAGGCCTGTGCGCAACGGCACGCTGCAAAGGAAAAAGTTTCTGGGACGCAGCGGGCTTTGAGAAACGATGGAGCGGATGGAAGCCGCAACGAACAACAAGTCCTGAAATTGCATGCGCCAATCCAGAAGTTCCAGGCAAGCCAAATCATGTTGCACTGGCTTTACTAGGTGGCCCCCCCAGCAAATTTGGACCCTCTTTTGAAACCTGGCGCCGGACCGCTCCCCAAACAAATTTTGGGGGCTGCAGGGGGGGGGGGGGGGGGGGGGGGGGGTTGGGAACCGCCCTCAGGGCCTTAAGCATTTAGGACCTTAAGGCCTGAAGCTTTCCTGCCTTGTTAGGGACCCCCCCACCGGGCCTGTGTATTTCAGAGGGTGACGCAACAAATTTGTAAAGGCGCGTCGGGCTGGCCCATGGACTACCTATCACACAATTTGTTTGGGGCCTCGTTTGATAATGAAATTCAATAAGGTTTTTTAATGGAACTGGCCGGGCTTAGCTTTCTGGATTCTCCGGGCTTTGGCTCTTTAAGATACCTGCCCTCAGGGCCTCAAGCCTTACTGCGCAAGCCGCTAACACAAACCCTTAAAAAGAAAACAACCATCCGGGAAAAATAACTTGTGACAATGGCGAGTCACCCCAACAAACTCATGTACGGATGTCGAAGCTTGTGATTTTGCCCCCTGCGTATACTCAAGTCAGGGCAACACGAAGAGCGGAAGAGCAACAAGCGCCACGGGTATTTTGAGAACCAGCCAAGGTTGCCGATCCTTGTTGCTAAACGCCTGTTGCAAAGGAGTATGTCATTTAACTTCCTCTGACTTTGCAGTTTCGGTCAGTGGGTGCTTCTTATTTGCCACTCGCCAAGCAGACCAGCCACACTGCAGGTTTTTTCAGGAGAACGCAAGATTCTTGAAGCGAGTGTTTCGATTTTGGGGTGCAACGTCTGGTTTGCTACTCGAGTGTGCCTTTGCCATGACATGTCCGGTTTGGGTGGTGCATCACTGTGGGAGCCAGACGTTTCACCGCTGAAGGCTTGTGTGGACATACAACTCAGCCAGAACCACGGTGCCGCAAAGACACCCCCACGCTCTTTGCAGATCTTTCATGGACACTAGTATAGCATGCAGCACGTCTACTGAGTCTACTGTTGTCTGTGGCCGATCTACGCAGACAATGACTCTCATCACCCGTTTCGGCTGAGTCGGCTGCTCTCTGCCAGCCAGCTGCACTGATCTGCTTTGTCAACCTACGTCCGGGCAGTCTGGAACTGCTGCGTCCATCACCCGCCACAGATCTCTCAGAGATAAGCCGCTGGCCAAAACAAGTCGCCATCTAAGCCCATGCTGTTCAAGAGGCCTAAAGGTACCTCCACGACAGGGCTTGCATGACACCATCCAGTACTTGCACCTGCATGAGTTCTCAACCCTCAGCTGTTCTCTAAGTCTAAATGTTCTCACGTCCCACGTTCCCATCTGCCTCTGGGCCGACTCATGGACATGCACGTCAGCGCCATGCAGTCTACTCCTGTCACCCCGCCCCACATGCGGAGTTCCTCTGCAAGCGGCCAGAAGCTGTTGCCTCTTCATCTCAAAGCATGATCAGGCGAGTCCAGCCAATCATGCCAAAGCTTGTCAGGTGCATCTGTGGGGACTGCATGTCAATATATTTCAGTTTATGTTCGAGCAGCTTGAGCTCGAAGGGGGCCATTGAAGCAGACATCCACTGAGCTCCCAGATGGGCAACTACACGCACCATCGCGCCAGCAAGGGTTTCCCACTCGCACGAGGTCTCCGCAAACTAACTACGCAGGTCATCACTGAGTGCCGGCGATGAGCTTGAAGGCTTCTTCCTTATGCTCTGACAGATTTTTGTTCGCACACAACACGAGAAATGGGCTCGTGGGGCCTGAGCTGGACGGAGATCAAACAAGCGAATGCTAGGCTTTTTGTGCAGGATTTGTGCTGCATGCAATTGTGTGTCTCTCGGCTACGGAGAGCACTGGGGAACATCACAGCTTTTGCTGTGGTGAATTTTCTACTCTGGGGGCTCTATCTGGCGAGAAGGAGCTCCAGCAGCGTCACGCTGATCTTGGAGCTTTTGCAAAGATACCCCAAAAAGGCACCTCAGGCGGGGGACTCCATGAGCCACTTCATGAAAGCCCGGTAGTCGATCATACCGTCCTCGGCTTCAGGCTTTGCATTGGGCCTTCAGGTGCATAACTGGGCGGGTGCAGATCCAAGGATCTGCATCCTTTACCTGGGCCGCGTCCAAAGCCTTGCCGGTTTTTATGAATGAATCAGGCAAACAAGTGCGAACATCAATGTCCTGTGCCCTACGCCACGTGCAAAATCGATGCCCCTCCCGCTCATGGCACGCCAATGGAATCCCAAATTTTGCTCAAAGTTTCTTGGGTGCCTGTGGGATGCGTGAGGGAACCCCACTGCTTCTTGCGGCAGTCCCTTGAAGGTCACGAATATTGACGACCAGTGATGACAAGTGCATCAGCAGCTTCTTGCCTCATCAATGTCAACAGCGTTCATGCCCAGAAGCTGGAGAAACATTGACCTGACATGGACAGCCCCCAGTGGGACATGGACAAGTAGGCAAGGGAGGGGGGAAGAGCTTGGTGAGCTGGGTACAGGGCCGGCATGGACGAATACGAAACCGCAAAACGCGGCCTGAGGCCCTGACAACTTCTCTTTCGCCAGCCTGCCCGGCTTGGAGCCATCCAAGCGGAGCAGCTGTGAAGTGATGAAGTCCTTGGGAGAAGCTCCAAACGCACGGCAACTGAAGCCCACAAAAATCGAAACGACAGATTGAGCAAGGAAGAAGCAGCTAGGCGAATGGAAGAATGAGAGAAAGCGAGAGAGTGAAAGGGAAAGACAGAGAGAGAGAGAGAGAGAGAGAGTGGGCGGGATGGACAGTCAGATAGCTCGATCGCTCCACAGCTAGAAACAGAGACAGTGATGAGAGAGAGCCGCAGAGCCAGTGATATCGGTATAAACACACCAACCAAGACAGTTAGAGGCAGGGAGGGGCCGCTAGAGATCTACACAGACAAGGTGCACTGACAGATGTGTAGATTGATTCAGACAGATGCATGGGCCCATAGATCCGAAGGACACATTGAAAGGTGGACAACCAGATGGACGGATGAATACCATATAGATAGCTAGACTGCCGGGCAAAGGGAGACATGTCAGGCAGAAAAGCACATGGATGGAGAGACGCAAAGCAAAAGCTTGCGAGAGGCACACAGAGAGCAAGGGCGAGAGAGAGCAGAAAATTTGGCACGAACATGAGGCAATAAACAATAGGTAGCCTGCTGCAGAATGCTGCAGATGAATGACATCAGATGGGGAGACAAATTACACACAGAAGGAGGCAAGGCTTACTAAATGACACTCCCTGAGAAACCACCGACTTGTTTTTAGCTCATGGAGTAAACTCCTGGAAATGTCAGCGACTTTGAAGAAGAGAACTGTCAGAGGCCCATGTCGAAGCTACAGACCTCGGACGAGCATTGGATGGCACGGTGCGCTGGTTCCTGTCCCAAGGGCAGTTCGCTCGGGAGAGGCGTTCGCATGGCTCTTGGCCTCGTTGCCCTACTGGGCTGCAAAGCTCCACGCCCCCCCGCAGAAGGGCTTTGGAGGCGCTTCATGCAGATCCACGAAGCTTGCGAGTTAAGTTCGAGGGCTCGGATGCGCATCATCGGCTTGGCAAACGGGAATGCGCATCGCCGCAAAATACTCGAGCGAGAGGCTTCTCCAGCACCCACTCCCTAAATTCTGTACTGTCCCTGTGGGATGGAAGGGGAGCTGGAGGGGGTGGAGTGGGTGGAGAAGCCGCGGCTTTCGTCTATGTTCCTCTTACAAGAAGAACATTGTATGGGGCGCTTCTAGCCATTCAATGACGGAAGGCTCCTTTTTAAAGGCTATGTGGGACCAAAAACAATGGACAGCTATTAACCCCCAACAAGAGCCACAACTTCAGGCAGGAACCTTACCCCACTTAGACGTTTGTAACAACTAGTGGAATTAACAGAGTAGCTCCCTTCAAGCTTAGGTTTGTATCTTAATCCGAATCAACTTGAATAGGACTCCGCTTCAATCCACAAGGGTTCCCACTGGAATTCCATTTCTGCTGGGGTTCCTCTCCATTGAATAGGAACCTAATATCATCCGGTATCCATCTCAGTACCCCATCTCGATTCGGATCTAATCTACATCAGTTAATAATATTCTAGCCAGCCAATTCATGCAGAGTTTGCTGCGACTAGAACTCTCTACCAACAGGATCTCCAGTCTGTACGTGATTTTGCTTTCTCCTTCGGTTCGCATACGATTCGAAGAGGGAACAAGAGACTCTGGTCGGTCTCTCTCTCTCTCTCTCTCTCTCTCTCTCTTTCCTGGAACTGACTCATGCAACGAACGCCTCATGAGAAGGCAAAGGCCAGTCATCGCGGATTGAGCCAAGCGTCAACCACCTGCTCCTGGCAACCAGCTGCAGGATTGCAAATCCGCCGAGCAATAATCGCTGGAAACAATCTTGTCACATCTTGTCCGTGCATTGAAGCGCGTCTCTCACCAGTTCAGGGAATGCCCAAGTGCGCCTCCTTCACTGCCTTACTCTGCGCATTGAGCTCCAGGCCAGCCCCGCCCTCCTGATGTGAGGTGGTACTATGCACCATCACAGGTAGTAAGAGATAGCAAGATTCGTTAAACAGATATGACATACAGGCAAGCTCCCACCTCAACTGCTTTCCCGACACACTTCGGCACAAGCGAAGGGTTCCGAAGTTTTCTGACACACATAGACACATCAGGTTTCGGCATGAGTGTCCTGCACTGGTCCTGATGAGCTGCAGCTGGCATGTGGTACATGGCCAGCCTCAGGCAACACAAGCATGTTGAACAGTTCTTTGTATACTACAGGCTGCCATCAGCTACCATGGGCTGGCATATGCTACAGTAGCTCACAACCGTCCGAGCCGGCCTCTGGGCCTGGCCCGGACTGCGCATCGGGCAACTTGCATCGTGGCGTCAGGAGCTGCGCAAGCGCGGCCGCCAGTGCCAGGTCATTGCCTGCATGCTGCGCTTCTGTTTCCATGGCAGCTGTTGCATCCTCACGCGGCTCTGGCGTCTTGCCATCTGGCCCTGCGTCGCCTGCCGAAGTTACAGGTTCGGCTGGGCTCGGAATCTGTGTCTCGACATCACGAAGCCGTGCTCTGCGATGACCCTCTGCGACGCACAGTGGCTCCCCTTGGTCGACGGACTGCTCAGCTTCAGCGAGGTTCTCCTCCGTCTTGGTCGGCGGCGAGCCGAGGAGCCGCGAAGGCCCAGGCGAAACCTGCTCCTCGCTATGGATGTTGTCCGTTGCCGTAGGCCTTGCGGGCAGGGAACTCGGTTCCCTCGAGTCCGTGGCTCTTGCCTGCTCAGTCTCGTCATGCTCCTGCTCCTGGACTTGCGCGACTTGCACAGCTTGCACGGATACGGCACCATTGCAGTCGGCTTCGTGCTGGTCGGTACTGAAGTGTTGCAAGTCTTCATCAAGGGCTTCGGCGAAGGCGAGAACTGCGGTCTCAAACTCAAGCTCCTTAGGTGTTGCCTCGGGCGTGGCCTCCTGCTCCTCCTTGGCATTGCAAAGGTAGTCCGCCTCGCTCGCCTCACCTGCTGGTTCGACAGCGCCCTCACCTCTTCCTGAGTGCGGCTGGTCATGCTGGTCCAGTACAGGGTCCGGCTGCTCATTGTGCTCATGCTGCAGCTCGTGCTCTTCTGGGAGGCATTGTTGCCGCAGTTCTTGCTCTTCTTCGTTCGACCGGGGTTCGACTTCCGCGCTGCCTGGGTTCGTCTCTGGGTTCGTCTGCTCCTTTCTAGGGCTTTCGTCTCCTAGCGGGGCTTCCCAAGTCCGGCTGTGAGCTGAAGGCGTGTTTGCCCTCGAATCCAAGGGGGTCTCCCCACTTGTCCCAGACAACGCCCTGCTAGCCTGCAGTCGAGCAGACAGCAAGAAACAGCAGATCACTGACTCCGTCGCCCTGCAATGAGACACGGCACCTTGCAGACAAGCAGTCCTTCCTGCAACACTTTTTCGTCTTTTTCCAGCCCCTGCTGCGGTGCAAAGGTCCAGCCACACTCACATTTGCGATCCTCGGCCCAGATCTGATCACTCTGTCTCTGCGGCCGGTAGCTGTTAGCTGCGTCAGCTGCAAACACCCGACTTCAGCAAGCGTGAGAACATCAAAGCATCACATGCTGAGGAGAACACTCGTGGCATGTCAGGCCTTGAAGTATGTCTGCTTCCACCTGAGTCTCGGTGACTGCTAGACTATGTCAAATAAGGAACTCCGGAAATGCGAAAGGCAGGAGAAAGACTAAACTTTCTAAACCAAGAAATTGATAGTACTCTCAGCCTGACCCAGTTTTCTCAATGTAGGCTGCTAAGCCCCCCCCCCCCCCCCGCACCCCCCCAAGAAAAAAACGCAGCCCCTCAGTTTCTGGATTCGAGGGGTGGGGAGGGGGGGGGGGGGGGGAACCAATTCTGTAGCAAGGTGACTAAGACACTGACCTCAGAATCTGCCAATTGGAAGCTAACATCCCTGTGCGCCCTAAATTATTATTAGCCAATTGAAGGGCTGGATTTCTTGAAACCTAAGAAAATCAGGTTGGATCTCTGTTTTCAGAAATTGAGGAGGGGCTGGATTTCCTGGAGCTAAGAAATTGAGGGAAAGCACCTTTTGTTTCAGGATGTCAAGCAATAACTGCAGTCAAGCACTCTCTCCTCACTTCAAGAAAGTGAGTCAAAATCGAGGGCACTCTGAAATTGTTGAGGTACCTTTTTCCCGATCAAGAAGGCTTCGTAGTTAAGAAATCGAGGGCATCGGTACCCTCATGAAACTTTTCGTTTCTTCTGCAGCCCTGGGCAACACACCTCCCCCCCGCCCCCGGCCACTGCAGCTGCGAGGCCATGGGAGGTTCTGGCTCATGAACTCAATGTCGCGTAGATCCTTCTCCAAATTGCGCAGGAGCCTCAGCTGTCTGAAGCTGATGGCTCTACCTCTACGCCTCTAGGATTCCCAAGCTCTTCAAGTAGTGCAACTTCGCTCCCGAGGCGCTTCTCAGTAGGAATCCTTCCGGGAGAGTGGGCGTCATGACCCGCTGCCGTGAAGGGCTGCGCAATGCAAACTGAAACCTCGAGCAGAGCCTTCCAGGATTCAGGAAGACAGAGGCAGTCTGTCATTTCGCGGAGATGCATGCTCGTGCCTGGTACAGGAAAGGGCCGACAGTCGCGAGAATCAAAGCGACGACCAAGTCTTGCAGACTGTGGGACACATCGGCGGAGCCTGCGGTCAAAGGCACATGCGCACCTCTGATCCGAGTAAGCTTGACCCATCTTGAAACTCATTTGGAAGTAAGGTGGAATGACCAAGGACCAAGAGGGTAGAGACCATCGTGTCTTTGCCCCTTGCACAGACCAGGAAGGATGTGACACGGATGTGTCATGGCAGAACGAGCGGGGAGCTCCTGAAAGGAACGTCGAAGATATGCCAAGGCCGCAAACAAGAATAGAGAAGACGAAGCAAAGACTTAAGATGTAGCTGAGGGTTACAGTGCGGCTGGTGGAAACCTTTTTGCCAATCTTGACCTCAAACTCAGAAATTGCACTGCTGCCACAAACTTGCCGCGGGATGCTGAAAGTTACCATGTTCCATTCAGCAGCTCGCCACCCTCATACTTTCAGGGCTCAAGATTTTCCACACTCCCTACTTAGAGTTTCCGCGTATCAGAAGAACGGCTTCAGGATGCTTCGGGATGCAGGCTTGAGCATGCTTGCGGGAGGTAAGCCGGGTAAGCTGCGCGAAATCGTCGGGCATCTGCAGGTGACCCGGCCTGGCATGTTCGAGTTGGAACCCGGGTGGTAGCGCGCGATGCACATGCTGGCGGTGACACCAGCTGTCATACCGAAGCTCACGGCGTTGATGAGGTTGTTCACAAGGACAAGGGCAGCCATCATCTGGACGTGCACATACGGAGGCTGCACACGCATGGAGGCCCTGACTGTGCGAATGCCTCCGTAGGCTTGCTCTGCAATGGTAATGATGCGGCCATAGGTGGGAGTTGGAATCGGAGGTACCTCGCCATCTGCTGCCATTCGTGTGAGGAGGGAGGTAACCCACACCCACAATGTTTGGGCCGGATCCTCAATCTTTTTCAGGATGTCTCGCTCATTGGGGAGCAGTGTGGCCAAGCTCCTGGAGCGGTCAGCGAAGACATCTCCATCCTCAGCCTCCGCAGAAAGGTCCTCCCACTGTTCCTTCAGAAATTGGGCTCGCTCTGGGGGTGCCATGGCCGCAGCAATAAGATCGTTGTCCAAGCAGCGTGCCGACACCACGCAGTAGCGCAGGCACAAGTAAATTCGCTCTTTGGGCACACCCAGTGCGTTTAGCTGCATGTGAAGCGACCGGATGGCATCAAAGAGCTCCAAGAATCCGTTCGTACAGTTGTACCATCGCTGTACTGAGCTCGACAGAAAGAAACCAAGTAGCAATCCAACCACCACCTCCAAGAAAGTACTGATGCGCTGGAACCGGCCAACATCGAGTTTGGCCGGGTCACTCACTAGTAAGCCAACGGAAGATGCAACACAGACTGCGATCAGCAACAGGATGCCCATCATTTTCCACAAAGAAGCCTTTGTCCACACTGTCCCACTGAAATTCCAGAAGACTTCCTGACTGCCACGAAAGGCGCGAGTGCGACAAGGACCATTTAAACACCGCACACATACTCACCTACTCATCCAGTCCCGACGGATGCTGTCAGGCCACAAAGGTCACCAACTTTCCAGCGTCGTAGTTCATGGAGTCGAAGCTCTCCTGGAGATGCAACACACTTTGCATTTTCAGACATGTGCCACTCTTGCCAATTGACGTGGTTCGATTGAGCGCGCGTACCAGTGCCAGCGCACTTGCGGTCATGAATTTGATCATTATGTTACTGAAAGCACAAAAGTCTGGATTCTGGATTCGACGGACAGAAGGGCGCAGAGTACTTCAAGCTGCTTTCCCCTAGGTGCGCCTCTCCATTCTTGTGCTTTAGAAGCGGCGTCTGCTCCGATGCCGCGGCCATGCTGTGCCACCTAGGTGCATTCACAGGCACTCTCTGGTTTGCCCAGATCTTGCAGCTGTTTGGGCAGGGACCGGGACCAGGCTGCAGCCGGCAAAACGAAGCCACAACCAAAGTGTCGTTCCTGCAAAGTACTGAGCCATGGACGGCCTTCTTCGTTGTCGGGAGCCAAGCTTGAGCCCACACGGCTCGCGAGAAACGATGGTCCCGACCATCACCATGTCACCACATCGTCACACCGCAATTTCAAGTCTCAATGTCGTCTCACACAATCATGTGCTCATCTGCTATGATAAAGTCAGTTATCGCTAGCGGAGAGCTGCCTATGGCCTATGACTTGACAAGTCGCGCATGACCCTTCGTTGCCTTGTCCGACTCCGGCATGAAAAGGCTTGTGGCACTTCCTGAGAGCACCTGGTCGGCCAGGCTTCTATTTCTGCGGCCACGCCAAGATCAAGCCTGTACAGTAACGGCGAACCGTGGCTGCTTCTGTTGCTCGAGCTTGTTGCTGCAAGGGTTTCCAACTCCACACTCCTGCTGATAAGAAAAGAATAGTCAATCTCAGCCCGATCTTCTGTTATCCGGCCGAGAGGCCTGTCGGGGGACAATTTCTGAGGCTGGTCGGGAAGGTGTGCGACTTCCCTGTGATGTGTCATCGACAGCTTCCATCAGCATCCTGGCAGCAGCTGGGAGCAAAGCGGTTGTGGCACGCCTCGTTCCTGCAGACGTCTCCTACTCGCAATGGCAATTCCAAACCTGTCCAGACTTGCACTTGACAACTGCACGGAATGCCTCAGCTCCACAAAAAAACTTGTACATTGTATGTTAAGTTGTCTCCCTCATGTCCGGATGGCCGCTGAAATGTTCTTTTTTCCTCAGGCGGCGTGCAGAACAATGCAGAACAGTAGCATCTCCGAGCACATGTCGACATCGACGCACACCGACTGAAACAGCTTCTAACATAACATTTGCCCTGACTCGGACTTCTAGTTGCATGGCGGATCCAGGCTCCTGCGAAGTTCCAGAAAATCCAGAGATGTGTGTTGTAAAATGTTCCGAAGAAAAGATATGTATATATATATATACATACATATATGTAAATGTACATATATATATATATATATGTATATGTATATGCACATATATATATACATATATATGGTACCCCCCCCCCCTCCAAAGCCCCACGTCTCAGGTCACCAATTCGCAGACTCGCAGATTTGTAGCCCCAATCTGCCAATCTGCGAAACCTCGAGAAACGCGGATTCGCAGATTCGCAGATTTGTAGCCCCTAACCAATCTGCAAATCTGCGAATCTACGAAACCTCGAGAAAACGCAGATTCGCAGATTTGTAGCCCCCAACCAATCTGCAAATCTGCGAATCTGCGAGACCTCGAAAAAACGCAGATTCGCAGATTTGTAGCCCCCAACCAATCTGCAAATCTGCGAATCTACGAAACCTCGAGAAAACGCAGATTCGCAGATTCGCAGATTTGTAGCCCCCAACCAATCTGCAAATCTGCGAATCTACGAAACCTCGAGAAAACGCAGATTCGCAGATTCGCGGATTTGTAGCCCCCAACCAATCTGCAAATCTGCGAATCTGCGAAACCTCGAAAAAACGCAGATTCGCAGATTTGTAGCCCCCAACCAATCTGCAAATCTGCGAATCTACGAAACCTCGAGAAAACGCAGATTCGCAGATTTGTAGCCCCCAACCAATCTGCAAATCTGCGAATCTGCGAAACCTCGAGAAAACGCAGATTACCAGATTTGTTGGGGCATTCAAATCTGCAAATCTGCGAATCTGCGTTTTCTCGAGGTTTCGCAGATTCGCAGACTTGAAATCTGCGTTTCCTCGAGAAAACGCAGATTCGCAGATTTGTAGCCCCAATCAATCTGCAAATCTGCGAATCTGCGCTTTCCTCGACCTCAAAAATCTGCTGTTTAAATAGGCCTTCATACTTAGATTGTTTTTCGGGGAGGAGAATTAAATAATAATATAAATATTCTAAGAAATAAAGGAGTCTTCATGTTTAGATAGGGGCCTTCAGATTTAAATTACTTAACTCGGGCAGGGACCGAAATGCCAGTTAAATACGTGTAACAAATTTCAATAATTTTCATGCTTTAAATCCTGAAAGGGGGTCCTGGCCCCCTCCCGCAAGGAGAATTAAATAATGTAACAACTGAAATCTGAGAGGGCCTTCAAATTTAAATCTGAGGGGGCCTTCATATGTAAATTGTGTAACATTTCCCCCCCCCCCCCCCAGAAGGAAGGAGTGCCCCCCCCCTTCAAGATGAGAATTATTTAAATTTTGTAATTCTCGCCCCCTGAGCCAAATAAAGTAAATATGGAAGGGTCTTCATATTTAAATAGGGGCCTGCGTATTTAAATATTCACCGAATTTATATAAGATAAATGGTTCGGGGAGGGGGTTGTTAAACTTTCATGAGTTGTATAAAGAAAATATTTCAAATAATTAGATCCTGAAAGGGGAGCCTAGCAGCCTAGCAGGGGGAATGAAATAGTTTAAATCTGAGGGGGCCTTCTTTTTTACTTATTAACTTGTCTAATTCCCCCCAGAAGGAGAGAGCCCCCCCCCCCTCTTTCAGGATTTCAATTATATGCCTTATTTACATCAATGTGTTAAAAATGGTTAAATCCTAGAAGGGGGGCCCCCCCCCCTCCCGCCGGGGGAATTACATAATTGAAATCTGAAGGGGCTTTCATATTACATGAGGATGTTCATATAAAAAGACGTATTTCATTCCCTCCAGAAGCTCCCCGCAATTTAGGATTTAGGTTCTTTAAACTATTTGATTTTCAAATATTTATCCCCACCAAATTAAAGAAGCTAAATAGTTTAAATGTGGAGGGGCCTTCATATGTACATTGTTTAATTCGGGAGGGGGAATTACATAAATCAAATATGGAAGGACTTTCATATCAATAGGGCCTTCATATTTTAAATTATCCAATTCGGTGAGGGTGTTTAATTACATCATTTAAATAATATGTATCAGATACTTTATATAGTTGTACTAATTTGAAGAAATTAAGTCCTGAAAGGGGGGGCCTGGCCTCCTCCCGCGAAGGGGAAGTAAAACATTAGGTAATCTAAATCTGAAGGGGCCTTCATATTTAAATAGGGGCTTCATATTTAAAGTATTGAGTTCCCCCCAGAAGGAGGGAGCTGCCCCCCTTTCCGGATTTACACAGTTTAGTTATTTAAATGCACCATGCCGAAGCCTGTCATACGAAACATCGATGCTAGCCGATCCTTTTTCTTAAACGTGGGGTTTAGGAGGGGGGTAGCTTTTATATATATATATATATATATATATGTATGTATATGTGTGTATATATATAAATACAAACAGACAGTATAGTTATCAGCTCACTGCAACGTGCACATGTGCTCTCGTGCTGCGGCTCCTGGAGCTGCAGCTGCCTGAAGTACCTTCCACTGCATTGCGCTGACACCTCACGCGCATTGGGGACTTTAGTGTACCCCCACCTGTCGTCGCTCAGCTTCGCAAGCGCAACGCGCTTGCATTGGAAGAGCCTCGGTGGGTGCTCATGTTGTGACCAACTCGCTGAAAAAGGAACCGTTGAAGATGCGACAAGGAACCCTTCTGCTACCTCCCGGGGAGGCGTCCACACAACTTCGCCGGTTTCAGAATGTCTGAAGTACCTCAGTCACGAAGCCACCCGTCATGTACATGCAACGCGATATGTCAAGTATGCGAAATCTGTGAAGAAACAATCTTACTGTGCAGCGGGGATTCTCCAAACCACTTTCAGCAGGAACTGAATGCCACTTGCCGAGGAAGTCCTCTTCCTCCCCCGCCTTAGACTGCTGCATTGAAATCGCTTCGTGTCAAGGCACGGGGTGACAGATCCAGATTCTGGCAAGGCTCTACCACTTCCATGAGGTGTGAAATGAGGTTCACCTGGGCTCGATGGCTGCCACCCTGCTTGGTTAAGGCCTTGGACATTTCCTTTTGGGCAGCGACTCGCCAAGGTTCGTCCAGCTGCAGAAGTTGCTTGCAGATCCTCAGCGGCGAGGGAAGCCCAAGGCACGTTGTCAAAATCCCACCTTGCGGCTCTTGTGTGCATACTTACAGTCTAATGTTCCCCGCCTTTCGTCCGCAACCTCAATGCTTGTAGGACTCCAAAGAACTCAATGACCGAGGCACGTTGCCGCCTCCAGCAGGGAACCCTCATGCGGATGGTCCCAGGTCGTCTGCCTGCGGAGGCGCAAGCGTACATCCCCTCGATTCACCTATGGGCTTTCATGTGACGTTGGCCTCGTGATCATGTTGCAGAAGAAGACGCGGCCACGTGAGCTTCGCAGCATAACCTGGATCTGGTTGGTGCACTGCATGCACCGGTGCACTATGGACATCTTGATGCTGTATACACAACAACCTTGGGTTCTGAAACTGCGCAGGTTGCGTGTGATGTCAAATGATGTCAAGGAAGCTCTCTTTAGTAGTCTTTAGGCCAACTTCGCCAGGCAGCCCAAGGCTGGGGAGCAGAGATCTCGGCCAGCAAGTCCTATGAGCAAGGGAACGCACGGCTTTAGCTTGCTCTAGCTCAATTCATGGCATATGGTAAGTCATGGCTGCCAATTCCATCTCCAGCACGGTGCCTCAAGGAATCTTGCAACAGCATTTCCCATCTCGGGCTGCCCAGACTGCCCGGCGGACTGCAGCAGCTTTTGCACATAGAGTGACCTCTCCTCATTGCTCCTGGACGCGCGCAAACACTCACAAACTGGCAGCGAGATCTTGCATCCCATGGTAAAGTTCAACTGATACCATTTTAGGAAACAACCATGTCAACTACCCTGGCTTCTTGCAACACCAGAGGCACTAGTCAGTGCCAAGTAAACTAGCGCCCAAACACTCTGAAAGGCCGTGGGGGCATGCACCACTGACGAACTCGACTCGACCCCTCTGGACAGTGTCAGCATCCACAATTGCGGAGCCGAGGCTCCAGATAGTCTCTGAAATCTTGGTGCTCGATGGCCCTTGCGAGGCCTTTGGTGGGCTGCAGAATGTTGGCTTCAGCAGGCCATGTAGACAGTAAACATGTTGGCTGAAAGGCTCCCGAACTCGCATGATGTCTTTTCGTCCCATGTGCATCCCAGTTGCATGTGGCTTTGGCGGTGCCGCAGGTGGGGTGCCTATGCTTGGCAGCAAAAACACAGCGCACAGCTACAAGTAGACGGACTTAGACGGCGAGTGGCTGTGCGGCACGTGCGGAGAGCCCCGGTCCACCTGCGAGAGATCCTCCTGCACAGCCTGCACAGAGAGACGGGAAAGCATTTGGCAGACCCCAAACTTCCATCATATCTCTGCGTTTAAGTTTACAAGCTGTGGGATCACGCTGTCCGGTGGCCTCCGGTAGGAGCTTTCGCTGACTGGCCGAGAACCGCAGCACTTTGGTCTCTAGTTGTTGGCACAAGACCTTGTGCAAAGATCCCCATATTAGGGGGAGGCGAAGCTGTCACCACAAAAACGACATGAAGAGAACGCTGAGGAAGAAACTGGGTCAGCAGCCAACCTTTTGACAAGTCGGTGCTGGGAGTTGGTGGGGCACTGACACTGACGCTCAGCACAGACAAGTCTTTTGAAAAGTCTCCCTGTGGGTGTGCGGCAAGGCCGTCAGCGCATCCTTTGGCGGCGGAAGGCCGGCCATGCTTCACTGAGCCTTGGTACGTTGTCACACGTCTTCTGTTCAAGTGCCTCTGTTTCTGATGGGGGCTTTGACTAGCTGCTCAGGTTGCTCAAGTTCTGCATCCGAATACTCAGCACTTCTTAGGTGGCTTCTCCTTATCCTTTGCCGATTCTTTGCAGCCAAGGGGTCGAATCATCTGGCCTCTTCACCGCCACCGACTACCATGGCGGGAGCCCGCTTCACAGCCCATCACAGCTGATGACTTTTCCAACTTGGAGAGCTTGGTCTGATGCACTTGCTACAAGACATGTGTTCGTGGCAATGTTCGACTTCATCTGCTGGTTCTACTTTGACAGAACACACACATCTGGTCTGGTCTATTGCAAGCACAAACCACACCGGCGCGCAGCAACCTCTTAGGAAAACAGCACGCGAACGCATGCAAGCCACACTTGCCAGATGCTTGGCAGTTGATGTGTCATTGCTGCTAGCAGCAGTTACCTGTCTGGGGAACCAACGCCGGCGAGCCTCGGTAGCGTGTGAGCGTCCATCTGAACTGTGTTGCAATGCTACTGGACGCGTTGTAAGGGGTCTTGCTTTTCAGGTGGTTCCTTCACTTCAAAATTAGTGTTTTGTTGCCACGCATGCTACCAGAAGAGTTTGGGGTGTCGCTTTGATTCGTCGGCTTAGATTTGCCTATTCTGTATTATTCTGTGGTCCCGTCGCTTTACAGCGTTTTGGTACTTTGTGTCCCGCTCTAAGCAGCTCACAAGAGCCGCCAGTGCCTCCTTTGTTGTGCCTCCTTTGTTTAGACGGACTGCAACAACACACTCGAGTAGAGCATTGTAAGCTTGCCCCGGCGGAGTTAAGCTAACTGAGCCGCCTGCGATTCCGCAATTGGCAAGCAACCCGCCTTGTGGCCCTGGTCAACAACAAGCCCCATGAGTCACAATGCTGGAGGTGCTGCCAGCTGGAGAATCTCCGCACCAAATCTATGCTTAGTGTGCAAACATTCTACCCCTTGCATATCCTGGAGCTGAAATCCATTGATAAAACGCTGTCCTTCCAATCGCCCTGTTGGCATGAGCGGCTGCAGTAACGAACCTGGCCGAGGCACGGCATGCGGCTTTGCCGCATGTTGCTGCGTGTCGATCACATGTGCATTTAGCGCGTTGCCTGCTTGCAACGGCCGCAGGCAAGAGGGTTGCCCTCAGTTCCAACATTGTTCCAGGAGCTTCAGACGAACCTGCGTCGGTGTTGCAACGCCAAGGCTGTGGCCGATAGCTGTTTGCTGCAGTGTGCGCATGTGCTCCTCCTGCATATAGGGTTCAACCAGAAAGTCACTTGGACTACTTTCAAAACTCCAAACAATTCCAGCCACGAAATGGTGATGAGGACCAGGCAAATTGGAGTGCCACTCCTGTTGATGTCGCTCAGGCTTGCTGCGAACAGAATCGTCCATGGAATGCTATGCTGCATTAACCGCTTGGCGACTATCACAACAATGTTACAATAGCAGCATCTCCTTCAGAGAGGCCACACGAGCTCCAGTGTTAGCGACCTGGCAGACGGACAGGAATCCTGTCACACCAGTTCTTGGACGTTCCGGGAACCGTCGGCCAGAAGAGCTTGCACGCGCTTGGTATCAAGCCTTGGCCACCGTACCGCCCGTAGCCGCAAAGATCGGCAGAAGCCACTCACACAACCTGCGCAAGAACATGCAAGAACTGTGCCCACGCGTGGCAACTCGCCGCAGAAGAGCATCTAAGTTCTCGGCAAGCGTGAGGCGATGCTGCGATGGTCTCTGGCGGTCTGGTCGCGCCAGTGCAAAGCTTTCTGGCCACCTGAAGCCTTGGAGGCTCTTGGGCAGATCTTGAGCAGTAATGGTACACACAGGCGATGGCATGCAGTCACCTCCCGCTGTAAGACATTCGCTGCGTCAGGTATTCGGCCTTGGAGAGTTGTGTACAACTGTCACGACCGACCCAGGACTGATGATGGTGGAGATCACGTTCGGGGGACAGATGGGGTCGACGGCTACAGCATCAACTTCTTCAGTGTACACGCAGCACAAACCCTGGAGAAGCAAGATCCTTGGCTAGAGCACATGCTGAGGGCACCCGCCAAGCCACGCGACACAGTCGATAGCTGTGGCAATCGGGGTGCCTGACACAGACAGAGATGTCACCGTCGCAGCTCACCACAGGACCCCTGATACCCATGGGTCGCCCGCGCACAATTTGAGCTGGTGGAAGTGGCAACTTCCTGTCCTCACATCGAAACAACGCAGCTCTCTTTGCCGAGCTGGGAAAAGAACGTGACATTCATGACACCGGGCTCTGGCCAGTAGCCAACCCAGGAAGCGGCAGCCACAGGCAACAGAGAGAGGGTCGAGCCTCTGACCAGCGCAGTAGACTTTCAAAGCCACAGGAACTGGGCCGCGTAAGGCGACGAACATCAACTTACTAGCGGCTCCCCACTAGTGCGCTGTAAGCACGCTGCAATCCGCCATCAGGCCGGCAACGGAAGTGCAGAACGAGCCTTGCTGCAGCGATCTGTACGATCTGCAGCGCTGCGTGCCCCCAGTTTCCCTGAGCTGGCCGCGCAGCAGCTGCAGAGATCCAGTGCTGGTCACCTGAAACTCTCCCAGAACAAGAACTGAAAGTGCGACTTGGCCACCTATGAACCACAATGTCAGACGTGCCATGGCGCACCGAGTCTGCTTCTCACATCCGCGGCCAAAGCTACGAGCTCCTGCAGCTTGAGAGCAAGAAAAGTCACCTGACCGTGTGTAAGAGTCGCCTTGAACTGCGACCGAGTGCTCCTCGGCACTAGCCTTCGCTACCCCTCGAGGTGGCTTAAGCCTGGCACTGCCATCATGTTCCATTGTCGGGAATCGAAACCACAAGTTAACAAGCGCCAGGCTCCAAAAGCATCCTGTGCCTCCATGTCTGTGAGCTCCAGTGTATCATACTAGGCACGGCCAAGATGAACCGTGGCAACTGGAGGCTGAGTTGAAAGCGTCAGCTGTGCTTCTGCTGTGCTGCGGTGCAGATCACCTGGCACGGAATATGCAATCTCAAGGACAATCGTGCCTGGCCCCCCTAAATTGTGGCGGCTAAACTGCTCAAAGTGTCTCGACCTCGGCTGCGGCATGCTACGCTGCAATGCTGTCGACAGAAAGCCCTGCCCGGCTCTTCGTGCCGGAGAGGTACCACAGGATGTACAATGCCAAGCGGGCTGGGCCTCACAAAAACGGTGTGGGAGTCTTTGCCACGCAGCATCTGAAGGGGCCATTTGTTCAGACGTGCCATGACATGAAATTCAAGCCTCGGAACAACTTGAGGCTCCCCGGTGACCCTGAGGCAGCACCTTGCTACGAGCAGGCTCGCCAAAAGTGTGGCCACACCTACACTCTGATCTCACATCTCCTGTCTGAGGCCTGCTCTGTCCCACCACAAGCATCACAGGGCCTTGATTGTCAGGTGTTCCATGTTAAAAATAGCGGAGCAAGGACGTAGGGCTCCCGGCAAAGCCCTGCACACGTCGGGACCTTTCAGCATCGAGTCAAAAGCGGCAAATGAGTGTCTTTGGTCAGCAGGGGCGGTCGAAGCTTCCATTACTGTTTGCACCACGTGCCGCCGGGACTTTCTACAGCCGAGCAGAGCGAGAGCTCTTGAAGCTGCAGATGCCGCTCGAGTGGAAACGGTGACGGGCCCGCCGAGATCGCCAAGCCATCATCGCTATTTGGCTGCAGCCCGAGCTGCCATAGCAGCACTCTCTTCCTGCAAATTTTTGCAAGACTTAAGAACTTCCACAGGCAGCATGTGCAGCGGAGCTTTCACACAAATACGTGAGCCAGTGCCTGCCCCTCGCGGTCATTGCGTTCGCAGAGCCTCACGTGCCGCAATGGGAGACATGCCGCACCAACAAGCTTCCTCCGGATACACTGGAAGCATCCATGCAGGCTGTCTGAGAAGCGCACTCTCCTACGTACGCGTAGGTGTACGGGTATCTGGGCGGCGGCCTATCATCGCCGCGCTCCTTCGCAGGGACAAGAATGCCTTGAGATGCAGATCTCAGCCCTGGCACTGAGTCCTTGAACATCTCGCAATAGTCGTACCATTCTTTGGCACACTCGTCGATGTACACTGCGGAAGTGCATGCATGGTCTGCATAGCTGCCATGCCCCACATGTTTATCAAAGCACTTCAGCTTCGGTGCTCAAAGAATCTCAGGGGGAATCAGCAGCGCGCAGTGCTTTCAGGCGTGTGCTACGACCGAATTGCAAATCCTATCACAAACTCTATCCGTTGTTTGACCATTTGTTCGTCTCCATCTCGCTGCACAATCCTTTCGCTTCAAACAGCCTTGGGACCGGTTGCATACCTCTGGAGCTGGCTAAACAATGTCTGGTTCCAACCAATCACTTTCACTCCTCATGCGAGGCTTCAGGAGTTTTCATCTTCGGAACCTAGATATGTGTCAGTCCGCCTCGGGCTACTCCATTTGGAACATACGACTCCCGCGTTTTGACGTCGTTGAACCATAGCCGCGGTCGGATACGCAAAACCCACCGGTAGCGGCAAGATCACAGGTCCCTAGCCGTTTGTGTCCGAATCGGACTGGAAAGACGTAAAACCATGGTTTTTCTGTTTAGCTCAAGGCACCTTCAAGACATGTAGGTGTATTCGGCAACTATTTTCAACATGTCTCAACTCCTCTATCGGTGAGGGGTGGCGATGGGCCGAACGTGATGTCATGCATGGCCATTCCCGGGAATCGTTGACACAGGTAGACCGAACGATGAGAGGCCCAAGACGCCTTCCATGGGATGTAGCAGCAGCATCTTTTGCCTGGCGCAGGCATCTATCCCGCAATTCCCACAACCCCCGAGCGCAATCCCGAAACCCTACCCCCTCACCATCCCAACTACCCTAATCACTGCTCGCAGGGGTCTCATCACGATCCCTCGAGCTTTGACAAGCGACCGCTTCAGAAGTGGCCCGTTCTCCGGGAGTTCAGCCAGACCAGGGATGCTCCCGATAGTGACCATCGTGATTTGGGCTGCAGGGCAGAGAGGTTCAATGCTTGGCGCGTTTGGTTTAGTTGGGCTTAGAGGCTTAGTGCCAGGCTTCCTGGCAAGGGACATAACAGACAATAACGTACAAGGATCCACACAAGTAAACACGCTTGTTTACATCACGTTTTGATGCCTTGGCCACTGGCAGAGTACGCTGCACACTGCACCATCATGCACCTAAACTTCTAAACCCAGTGCCTCCCGCACGTGGCTCGAACTGGTAGGCCGGTCTCCCCGTTTTGCTGTCCGCCTTCTGGCGAGGCAAAAGGTTGCTGTCCAGTAATGCGAGTATGTCGCGAGGATAGTTGACAGCCCACTTCATCATCTCCTCAGCTTTGGAGTCTTGGTAGTGCAGTACGGCACATCTTCAAATTCTGGCCCGTGCTGAAAACTTACCTACTGTGCGGATCCAAGGCATGAATGCAACCTGGGTCTCTGCGTTTGTTATGGCTCCTGGCGAGAGCGACGTGCCCCCAAATCTCCCGGCATCAATGCCAGGGAACTCGCACCAGACCCACGTTCTCCAGTCGCCATTCGGGAAGAAGCCCACCATTTCCTCGGTTCGTGCAGATTTGCAGTTCGTCGAGGCTCCTAAAAATCTTCCTGATTTCTTGTGGTTCCATGTGCACCAAAAACAATTACTATCTCGTGGCGGCTTATCGTGCCGCATATCCTGGATATCAACCACAGGATGCAAAGAAAGAAGCAGAAGCAATATGAACAAGATTGAAAGATGATTACATCACCTCTTTTTCTTGAATATATCACTTTAACCCAGGGAATATTCGCGAATTTAAACCCAAGTACAATGAATTCTTCGTCTGCTCTATTGAGTGGAGGTTGTTGACATGTCAATCGTCCTTCCAAAGAGTCACGTGCATATACGTTGATAGCATCAATAGCCTCTTTGATATTTACAATTGTTACTGTCCAACTGTTGGTGATCCCAGTCTCCCTTGTACCGAAGAGCTTGTCTATCTTTGGGTCCGCCTTGAATCCCAGGACTTTTATGAAGTGCTTAGCCTCAACCCTCTCCTGCGACTCCATGAGAATGTCCGTTGTGCGAAGCCGCTTGATTTCGCCTACGACAGTCTCGGCCTTGCCATAATATGTCGCCAGAAAGTAAAAATCCCCGATGCCAACACGAGACTTCTGCCGGATCGTTGCAGCGGTGCGGTCAGCATTAGCTTGAACAGCATAGAAGCTCCAGACGTCTATCCCTAGAAAGTCGTACATTGGCTTCATTGCATCCAGCACCATGGCCGCAGGTGGCGGGTAAATGCTCTGGTTGATGAACCAATCCACAACTCTCGGCATTGCAATATTTCTCCTTCTGCAAATGAGGGTAACTTTTGATGCCCCGTGTTCCAGGCAAGTTCTCACATTCTCAATACCAAATGCGCCCATGCCAAAAATCGCCACCGCCGAGTTCGCGACTTTTGTGTAGTCAACCTCGTCGAACATGCCATATCCAATGCTTCCCTCAAAAACGTCCTCCCCTTTGAACTCCATGCGCAGGTTATCAGACAGACCTCCGGGGTAGCACTCAATGGTGGAGAAGTCCAGGACCTGAATGTTCTCAAGAGGCTGGGTCTCGGTGGGCTCCTCCAGGCTCTCCTCCTCAAAAAAGATTGCAAACGCCTCCTTCGCTTCCTTCGCCTGATTCTCCTCTGTGGCCTTGTCATCCCCTTGGCCTTCCTTGCCTTCTTCATGGGCTTCTGGCGCCGGCTTCAACATCGGCCTCTTCACTGAGACCTTGTAGACGTACTTGCGCGGCGAGGCCTCTGGCTCCATGAGCTTGAGGTCCCTGCGTTCGATCTGGGTGACTTCGGCATTCAGGTGGATGTGGCCCAGTAGCCCGTACTCTCGGCAAACATGCTCGAAGTGCTCCAACAAGTCATCACGAGTCGGCCACGTCTTCATGTCCTCCGGGATCCGACTCCCCACACGAAGATATGGGGGTTTCCGACAATAGGGGTACCCTTTTGGGGGGTTCCTATAATAAGGGTTTTTGTACTTGGGGCTATATTAGCGGCACCCCAGGTTTTGCCTTCTTTGCTTGTTGTTTTGGTTGGGGGGGGGGAGGGGGGCTCGGAGGGGTTGGGGGGGCTGGCATGCCCTTCCATGCCAAAATAAAAGATGCGGAGAAGGCCGAACGCTGAACCTGAAATGAGTTCAACAAGCCTTCGGTACCAGAGCATCCGGGTGGTACTGCAGATGATATACTCCCAGCTCCGTTTGAAGCTTGGAGGTTGGATTCGCGTTGACGACCCACGCGAAACCTCCAAGGCGCCCCAGCTTGTCATAGATGACAAAGTCTTGAATTCCATCCTTCCAGGGGCTCAACTCTGAACTCCAAAATTCTACAACCCATGTGCCCAAGTCGAACGAGGCTTCACAAAGCTCCCCACCTTCAGGAACGCCAGGCCCTGTTTCAGACCTCCGTGACCTGCGCCGATGATGCAGTGCGGATGCGGATAAGTCGCCTTCTGCTTCTGCCAGTTGCGCATGGGTCCCCGGACCGTCACCTCACAAAGGGATGCAAACAGGGAGATGACAAAGATCCCTCCAACTCTACTACTACTCTACTTGGGTGCCCCTGAAGGGAATCTTCATAGGCTCTGCTTTAGGCTCTGCTTTAAAAGCTCTGCTTTGGGCTCTGCTCTCCTGAGAGGGGATCTCGTCGGAGTCTCGCAAGACCTTGGTGCTGGAGGTGGCCTTTGCGATGAAGGCCAAACTCTCCGGTTCCACACCCAATTTGGATCCCAGAAGCTGGCGGATTTGAGAGACCTTGGTGGTGACCTCGATGGGAACTTGCAGGACTTCCGAAGTGCCATAAAGCTTTAGCGTGCAGAGGCGCCGGGAATGACTCTGCGTGCCTCCCCATGATATCTCAGGCATCTTTCCTTCGCTCGCTACCTTTCCGCACTATCAACATATATCATCATACATCCACATTCATGGGCGTTGAGTGTTCCGATGGCGATTCCGAAATAAGCACAAATCATTGTTGTTGCGATGATGGCTGCTGATGCAATGCTTGCGGGCTCGTCAACAGGCTTTCCGCTTGCGCAAGCAAACTTGAACGGAAAAAACTGCGGCAAAGTCGCTCCAACTAACCGCAACTCTCCCAAAAAACTACTGGCAATACCGGAGCTAGAGCTAGTGCCATGGCCAGGCCAGGAGGGCTTGCGATTGTGGGACCCATACAGAGATGCTACTGTATCCAAAACTGAATCCTAAACGAAAGGCCAAGAAGGCAAGGAAACAGCAAGGAACCGCACCCCAAAGAAACACCAATGCAAACAGGAAAACGGCCTCTAACCCTTCTTCTTCTTCTCCGTGCACGGATCTAAGCTGCCAGAACAGCCGAGCACCCTCCACCCTGGAACCGACACACAACCCTCGCCACGACTACAATACATGCAGGGCAAAGCACACACACACAGAGCAAACCGGAAACGCAAAGCAGGGCGCTAACGGATCCCACGTCGCATTCCTGGTGGCACACCCGCAAGACATTTCAACATATGGCTTGGCCAACGGCTTGGCTAACGGCTTGGCCAACGGCTTGGCCAACGGCTTGGCCAACGGCTTCCAGGTTTTTGCGTGATGCGGACGCCGCACCGCAGGCCGGTAACAATTAGGCGCCTCCGTGTTCCGGCTTCTTGTTGGTCTGAACTTATTCCATCAGAGCATGGCACATGTCTCTCAGTCTCTCTGATGGGTGGCCCAAGCCAAGTGTGAGCTGGGCGCTGCTCTCGAATCTTGTAGGTTTGTAGGGGCCCTCCCCTCCCTCCCTCTCTCCCTCCCTCCCTCTCTCCCTCCCTCCCTTGCAAGCAGAGCAGGGCCGGCAAGCGGGCCGCTCCGATACGTCTGTTGGAGTGATACTTGTTCGAGTCTTTCTCGCATGTCTCGAGCGTAAGACTTCACACAGGAGCCGTTGACCCCGACCGTTCTCTCTTTCCCTCTGCTCTCGTCTCGATCTTCATTCGACGATGACCTCGCTAATTGCTGCTTACTGTATGTGCTTCAGACTTCAGACTCCAAGTGCACGGCTCTGACATCGAGCACACGAGCAGCTGAAGCCACGATCTTGCTTGAGAAAACTCCGCCGAATATCTGCGCCCATCCACCTTAGAATTCACACTGTTCGGCACATCAACTGTCAGCGTCATATCATATCGTGTATTGCATTGTATTTAGTGCACTGTGTTGCACTCGGCAACTGAGGGCCTGAGGGTCCTGCCATACGCCTGTGTCCTGAACATACCAGCTGCCTTAATTCTGCAGATCTCCGAGATATATCCGGCAAAACAAGGTCTTTAAAATAAGAAAACCATGGTAACCCGAAATGCCATGCTGCAAAGTGGTTCTATATGAGTTCATGCTTGCGATACAAGCTTTGATCCCGCCACACAGCTGCATCAAGGTGCTCAGGGCAGCCCTCTTCGGGCGGCCAAACAAACTTTGGGGGGGGGGGGGGGTCCTATGGGCTGCATCAGGCTGCATGTCAGCTTAGGCTTAGCATGCGCATTGCACGATCCGCGGTGGACTTAGCGGCATCCAAAAGCTCGATGGTGGCGCTGGGACAATCTCCAAGTTCGGAAGCACCAGAAGCCATGTCCAGGAGAACCGCATCCACAGGAAATTGGTTGGAAGCCACGGTGAGCAGCGCCTGCTCCCAGAAGCTGGCCTGCCGAAACGCCGAGACCGCACTTGTGGCCGCCTGCATATCCATCTCAATTCGCGAGGACCTGGCTGTCCAAAGGATTGCGCCTACTTCGTGCGGTCGGCGGCCCTTGGCACACGCAGCGAGCGCCGCGCTGTAGCTCAGCACGTCCAAGGGCAGATGCATGGCCAGGTCACTCAATGCCAAAAGGCCCAAGGCCGGCGAGGCCGGTGAGGCCGGCTTTAACAAACCTACAGCCTCATGCCACATGCCTGCACGAGCACACAGCGTGAGCAAGGCATTGCGCGTGACTATGTCTGGCATCACCCTGCACTGCAGCATCTCTCGCGCACAAGCAAGCGCGTGATCGGTGACGTGGCTGGAGCTACATGCCGTGATCGCCGAGTTGAACTCAACAGCACCAAGCTCGGTGGTATCACGCCGTGCAGCAGATAGCAGGGCCAGTGCAGGTTTCCAGCCCTGCCCTCTGTCACACGCATTCAGCACCGCGCCGCATGCCACAGAATTGGGCTTCAAGCCAAATTCGCCCAAACTGCTGTAACGCAACAGAGAGTTCTCCCAAAGCTGGGCAGCACCCAAAGCGGCTATCGACCCGCCGAGGGTCACAATCTGAGGCCGGGGCCCAAATTTCAACATGCATGCTAATTGCCATTGTGCACGAGACCACTGACTAACCTTCTCGAAGGCACTCAGTGCTCCATTGTACGTCACGATATCCGCCAGCAAGCCGTAGAAGGACTGCTGCGCAAGAAGATCCTGTACGTGTCTCCACTGCCTTCCTTTGTCATACAAAGACAGGAGAGAGTTTCCAGTGATTAGGGACAGCTGCATGCCATCAATGAGCAGCCACTCCAGCAACAGCTGGCCGTCTTGCCAGCGGGCCAAGCCTTCGTCAGTCTCATCAGACAGCAGCGATCGGAGGACGGAGTTGAAGGAGATATTGTTTGCCGAACATAAGCTCACCTCTTCTAAGAATGCAAGCGCAACCATCCACGAGTTGCCTGTCCTGCACGAACTCATAACTGAGTTGTAATGAAGAGCCTCAAGCTTCCGTGATGATACCTTCTGCACTTGGAGTAGTTGGCTTGCCTGCTGCCAGCGCGTAGCCTTCTCGCACGAGCTCAGAACTGCGGAGTATGTGAAGGAGTTGGGGCTCAACGATGTCTGAACCATCCGGAACAACGACAAAGCCTGCGGCCACACGCCTGCCTTCTCACAGGCACTAACAGTCGCACTCCAAGAGATGATGTCCAGAGAGATCCCACCGTGACCAGCGGCATTCATGAGGCCAATCGCTGTTTCCCAACTGCTGGCCTTTTCACATGAACTGCAAGCTGAATTGCAGGTGATGGTTTCCAGCTCCACGTACCGTTCGCAGAAACTCCGCAACAGATCCAGGCAGTGTGCCCATTTCTTTCCCCGCTCCAGGAATGAGGCTGCAGTGCCAAGAAAGACGGAACCAAGCTCCAAAGAAAACCCGAGTGCTTCTTGCAGAAGACCCGTGGCCGCTTCCCAGAGAGACTGCTTGCCACACATGTTGCAGAGCGTGTTGGTGGTCACAACGCCGGGTTCTAAGCCAGACCTGGGAGCCGCAGAGATCGAGGGCAGGAAAAGAAGCTCTGCTGCCTGGATGGCGAGGAGCCACTTGTTGCCCCTGCTGAGAGCGGAAAGTGCCGCATTGCAGATCGCCTTACTCCGGTCCCCCTTAGACAGCCTACGCATGGGCAAATTGCATCAACTTGTTTGCCAGCTTACCGCACAACGAGGGTGGCTTATGGGGCTTTACGGAGCCTCTTGTTCACTCTGTTTTCCCAACACTACCACCGCTTCCAAGCAGCCACATCTGTTCGCAGGCCCTGCTGCCGAAGTGTGGCAAGAGCAACCACAGCCTGATGCCAGTTCGAGCGTCGGCCCTGTGTCGCAATTGCCGATGTTGCAGCCCTGAGCACATCTCCTGTCCGCCCGCCAACGCTCCATTCCATGCTGCAAGGCCAGCCATTGCGGGATGCAGAATCCTTACAGTGAGCCGATGCTGGCGATCCGGCATCGGCTCAGCGTAACATTTGGGAGCCGCCACATTTGTTCTGCGGCTCGAGACGAAAACATTGTGCAAGTGAATTGAAACGCTTGCCAACTGGAAAAGACGCAACCCGAGAGCCTCGCCCAATGGCTCTCCAGCAATGATTCGCCGGCATGCTGTGCCCTTAATCAAGCCTTCGACAGCATCCACACCTGGAGTTCAAGGTCAGTTGGAGCGTCCCCTCTGTCGAGCATCAAACGAGCATCAAAGTAGGGGCACTGCTTATGGTGAGGTTTGGAGCACACGAATGCGACACCTTCGAGGCAACTGACCACTGGCCCGACGATAACACGATGAGAGCCCTTTGACTTGCAGAATCTTGCAGACGCTTCTGCAGCTTCTGGCACGTGCATCATGCACCTTGCAAGCCATTGGCGCCAGAGCATTGTCGTAGGCATTGAGGTTCCACACACGAATAACCTCCTGCCATACAAGGGACGGACAAGGACAATGCCTCAAAATGTCTCAAACTGTCTCAAAAGGGCCTCAACTTCAGCCAAGTCCAGGTCCTGGCCCTCGCCAAGCAAGGCTGCCAGCACCTGAGGCCCAAGTTGTCCCAAACTCGCAGCAAAAGTGAACTCCAATTGCCGTTCTCAGCCTCCGCGGCGGAGTCCCCGGAGACCTCACGCACAAGATCTTCCAAACCCTTCCGCTCCCAAAATAAAGGAGGTGGCCTCGCCGCTGCAAGCCGCGGTGGCCGCACAGCCTCTCAGCAAGAGGAACAAAGCAAAAGGAAGAGGAAACCCCAAAAAGAACAAAATTTTGCCGCAAGGGCTTCTTCTACGTCTCATGGTGCGGCTTTTGGCCATGCTTGGCTCAGGGCGAACAGTTGGTGCCTGCTCACGACAAGTCTACGCCCTGCCATTTGAAAAAGAGCATCCAAATTGTCCTCGCTGAAAAAGTCTTCACGCAGCTGCCGGCGCTTCTCCGGGGCCAGGTGGCAGTATGCCCGAACACCTCGCGTGTTCCGCTGGATTGCACTGGATCGCAGTGCCCGGGCCCTAGCCGTCCACTAGCAGTTCAGGGCGCCCACGGGCCAAATTGGTTGCCGATGGCCTCCAAAAGCGTCGTCACTGCTGCAATCACTTTTCAGATCCTTGTACGACCCAAACCGTCATTGAGCTCTTGGCGCAACCACCAGCGCTGGCTCTTCGAAGACGCATTCGCCGGCCTTCGAGCTTTCGCGTCCGCACCCCTCAACTCGTGAGCACTTAAGTGGAAACATTTAGTCGCTCACTCTCGCACAAGGCCGGCAAGTGGAAACATTTGGGAATCCATATCGGTGGAAGCTCTGCGCTAGTACATTTCCACCCTTCACGCCTACATCACACCGAAATTTCATCCCAGCCCCAATCTGCACCTCAAAGTCGCAGCTGGCAACGGCTGCAGCTCCACCTGCGGCGAGTCAGACGCATGTCATGCCGCGCCACGCCACGTCACATCGCTGACTTGATGGAGCATTTGGTCAGTGCGCAATGCACCAAGCCTAGCTCCGGCAAGTCTTCCACCAGAATGCCACTGGTGCCCAGCACAACCTTTGGAGCAGAAGGAAACTAGATACGAAAAATGGTGGGGCCGTGATGACGGATTTTTGGGAGTTGGACCCCTAGTGGTAGTCCAGACACAATGGTGCGACTCTTGGTCTGAGACGCCAGCTGTTTTGCCGGAGTAAGCTGTTTTGCCGGAGTCCACACATGTGCGCTCGACCAGCCACGTCATAATTTGCTCAAAATCGCGCGGCGATATTTGCTGCGTCTTGCTTTCGGAACATTCAGTGACTTTGGAATGACATGATAGAACCTATTCATCTCCCACCTTGCGCTTCCACATATCCGACACATCCTCTTCAGCTCGGCTTCGGGGGTTGACGAGACCTTCTGGACAAGCGAGCCGGCGACATGCAAAGCGAAATGAGCGAATCTAGCAGCATTTCCCCATGTGCGGCCCCGAAAGGCACTAACTTACTAACATTCGGCGCTCGCGAATTTCCCATGACAGACCCATTAAAGCGGCCCCGGGGCTTAGAGGGCATCGCAAAGTGCACAACGTCAGTTTGTTTTTGAGAGCCCCACGTCTTTGGGAGGAACAGAGCAAGCTTTGTACGCTTGGCCAACTTTGGGCCTGTAGGAAAATGAATTCGGCTCCCGGACACTCAGGCTCGCTTCTTGCTAGCCGTCCGGCTACCTGTGCAGATGTCGACCAGGCACTTGACCTAATGTCACCAAGCATTCAAAAGCATTCAAGGCCATCGAGTCATCGAGCTCCCAAACTGCACATGTTCAGGCTAGCTGCAAACCAAACCGATGCTACCACGGCCGCGGGAGCCTCAATGGCTGGAGTAACTCTGCTTGCGCAAAGCATCAAGCGTAATCATGTCGAGCGCGGAACAATTGCTACCCCCCCCTTTGGACACGACACAGCTCCCTCCATGCATCGGCAAGGGTTTCACCAATATGAAAGCTCTTTGCTGACGGCGTACCGCAGTGATGAGGACGCCTTGCCAGGTTCTGAGTGACGTGAGTCACATAAGTGACACAATCAACGAGAGTGCAATTCGACTAGTCGAAATGCCAGTTTGCTGCTTCCAGTTTGCTGCTTGTGCCTGTAAGGAAACTGGCCCACAGATTGTCTTCTCGACGCCAGGCACGCCGTAGCCTCAAACACGAGTCTCTGCCAGTTCCAACCCGCACGGGCTTTCCCGAATGGAACAGCAAAGTACTGCCATCGTCATCAGGCATGAAAATTCATTGAACACTCCGTTGAATTCCCCCCCGTGAATGCCCCCCATTGCATATCCCATTGCAACAGATTGCAACAGCCAGTCCTCAGATGTCCTCAGTCTGCAGCTCCTGAGGCCCCTGCCCAAGGATAACGGCAATCGACAGCACCGAGGAAAGTGCTAGGGGCGGTAAGCGATTCACAGCAGCACGGCCACCGCTCTCCTTGGAAACCCGGCTACCGTTCTCAGACATTCTCTTTCGCATTCGCTTTGGCTCCTTTGGCTTCTCCCCCGACCGCCAAGGAGGGAAGACTTGAAAACTCCCAATCAGCACTGCGGTCAGCACTGCCCAAGCGGACACGCAGTTCTGGCCATGGAGCATGCGCAAGCCACCTGTGCATCAGAACAAGGCGATGCAGCTCAAGCTCCATGAGGCTCCATGCCACAGTTCAGCTTCCATGACAAGGCACAACACGAGGCCCAGAAAGCCAAAGCTGAGAATACCAGTGATCAGCCCAAAGGCGCCGCAAGCGATCGCCACATGCTCCGCAGTCAACTCCATCTTGCATATTTTGGTGTGTAGGTGCATCGGTCTTGCTTCGACAATGGCTCACTCTTTTCCACGTAGCTAAACCCTTCCCACCCGAGTTCTCGTTGCCGGACTATGTACGGACTCGGAATTGCAGCTGCTGGTCTGCTGTGCTTCGGAAGGGGTCTCGGACTACTTTCATGGACTGCCACTGCCAACAGCATCCAGCAGTGCAACTTGAGCAAGCTGGAAGAAATGCGAAAGTAGCGGGTATAGGGCCGCCCAAGCTGAAGTGATGTCGGATTTTTGTTGACTGTGTGGAGGTCAATTCCAAAGCAAGCCCCCCCCCCAATCCTGATCAACCCTGAAGGACAAGTCACCCTGACTGCATCGTCAAGTTTTCACTTCTGGGTGCAGCTGAAACCATGCCCACTATTTCATAAGAATGGCTGAAAGTCTTTATTCCCCCCCCCCCTGCGAAGCTGCGCAGCACCAAATCTCAGCCTTTTTTTGCTGCGATATTCTGCGATCTCGTCCATCACCACTCCATCGCCGATTGCAACAAAGTCCGCGTCGGTTGCGACGACCCTTCATGGTCCAAGCCTTCTCTCCAGTGCCTACCAAAAGCAAGAACTCGCATAAGAATCAGAATCCAAACTGCCGACGAGATGAACCTGCTCTGGCCCGCCTCTGCTTATGTCACTTGATACCACTTCTCCCAACACTGGCTGCAATACAAGCCTGTCGCAGGTCACCACAGCACACCCGCAACTTGAGCTGTACACACGATTCCACGCGCGCTTTCAGCAAAGATCCCTGTGCCAAAGCCAGAGCCAGAGCTGTCCACCTCCGCCTCGAGCTTCAAGAAAACAACTAACAACCCACATGACTCAGGAACTCCGGGGTACTCCGAGGAAGTCCAAGCAAGTCTGGCGAAAGAAGACTTTTAATTCCTTCATTCTGGACAGCAGCACTGAATAGCTCAGGCCATGGCGCCGCACTCGTGACAGCCTCAAGGCACGTGTCACGGAGCAAGTGCGTGATTGAGTGATACTCGCGAGCTGTCGGAAATCTCGGGATCGGGCTTTGCAAGGGTGCTGGCATTGACAGCCCTGCTGCCTCATCGTGGGCCCAGGGCACGTTGCGAGCTATTTTTGAAGCAAACGAAAAGGTGTCTCGAGTCGAGTTTGCAGAACCTCTATATATCAGCTGCCCACCGTCTCACAGAGCGGTTTCCGATCAGCCTCGGAAAAAGCGTTGGACACCTCAGCACACTGAAACCTGCTGCACAAAGAGGGAAAAGCCCGGAGTGCGGTGAGAAACTGTGAAAAACTGCTGCCAGGCACGGAGGGGCGCTTCTGAGACCCGAGCCATGGTGCAGAAATGGTCCTGACAGAGCACTTTGAAGAGTTCTGAGGCACCTTTAGCATCGCCACATCTCAGACAGCATTCACCCTGGCGATGGCGTGCATCATGGTGGGCATACACGTTGGTTGGTCCAAGCATGTGCCACACATCTTCTTCTTGGGCCCATGCTGCCAGCAATGAGAGCGGAGAGGTCGTAGTGCCCGACCTGGATACATCGTCCGAAAAAAAATTGCAAAGGAAGCCGAAGCCAAAGCCAAAACCAAAGCCAAAGCCAAAGCTAGGTGTCCGGTCACAGCAGACGTTGGGCAGGAGGTGGAGGTTGAACTCCCAGACCTGCACTTTTGTGTACATCCGAATGCACCCCTCACATTCTGAGGTGACAAGTAGAATGTGGAATATGTCAGCCTCTGCTTTATTCGTTCTGCACTGGCTTGCAATGCATTTTTTCAAAATGGGGCTGGTCTAGGTTGTCCAGTGCCCCTTGCCCGCCGCATGCTTCACGGGAACTGCAGGACGGCACCTGAGTCTCTCGATTCCCCCGTGCTTGTCACCATCTCAGTAGCTGCATGCTGGGAGCTTCAATTTAGGGGCCGGAAAAATCACTTATGGCATTCATTTAGGGTCCCTTTATAAGTGTACTATAATAACCCCCCAAAAACCCTGTTCTAATTATTTAGGCCCCTATTTCTGAAGCTCGGCCCGGCTTCCGATGCACGAAGCAGTCCTCAGGATCTGGCTCCCCGACTGCTTGGGTCTGCGCCACAAGCCTTGACCATGGAATCTGACACCCCGGACCTAACTAGGCAACACACGCACGAGGCGCCGTGTTGCTGCTGTCTTGAAGGGTAGGAATGAGTGATGGCACGATTTCTACGAAAAAATGAGGATGTTGCAGAAGAGCTTAAACTACTCATTTGTGTTTTCCTACTTGCTGCTTTGCTGGGTTACTTGGTATTTGCGGTTTTGGATTTCATGTTCGTGGCACATTAGAGCTTTCGGACCAAGAGGAGCCCGTGCATCTATAGACTGCAAGCGATAATCCCTGCAAGTTCCTCCTCAACGAGCGGACTTCTCCAAACTTCCTATCTGCGCTTCGCACTACCCTACACCCTTATTCATCTCCCTGTCATGGACCTGGATCCCCTTCAAACGGCTCGACTTCCGTTCCTCTCGCACTCCAAACTGCAAGCGTCCGGCAGCCTCTTGACACGAAGGATTCACACGCGCGCACACACACTCTCTCTCTGTGAGACACACACACCCACACACACACCCACACACACACACACACACAACACACACCAGCACCCATCACACACCCACACAACACCCACTACCACACCACACACACACACACACACACACACCCACACACACCAGACACACACACCCCACGCCCACAACACACCCACGCCCACACACCC